TCATTTATCACCCCTGCTCCCTAACAGGTAAGACCTCCATATCTGAGGTTTTGAACAAGTGGCATGAAGGCTAGAATTCACCCCCAGGCTGGTTTTCTTGGGCACACAGTGTTTAAAATAACTTGACCAGCCCCAAAGGCCTTTGAGTTTGTGGCTCTGGCCTCTCATCACACTCGCTTTAATGGATCTGTTTCAAAAGGACAGGGGTGCACCTAGCATTGAACATGGGGAAGCTGGCTTTGAAGACGATTCACTCATGCTTCCTCTCTGCCCCGCAGACCGTCTGCAAACAGTCTCACCCAGGTAGGTGACACACTCAGCGGTGGCCACTGTGCAGCTGGGTCAGCAGGTCTCTAAGAGGCACGATGAGGTTCTGGCAGTAACTGTAGCATCACATGGCAATAACGGGAGAAGGATGGGGTGGGGACTATATTCAACTGCAACTTCAGACCAGAGCTCATGTTTCAGTTGGGGGAGCCAGGCCAGGTCTCTGATCTCACCCTTCCCTGGCAGAACCTCTCTCTGGTGGAATCATCTGGGAGTCATGTGTCCTCGGTGCGTGTGATAGGAACAAACACAAGCCATAATCCCGTAAACAGAGGCCATCCTTCCTGAACCCAGCAGAACTCTGCTCCCTTCATGGCCCGGGCACCAATCATGGGTCTACAAATAGCATTGTGTCCCTTGCCAGCTGACTCCTTTGTCCCTATCCCTACTCACTACCCGGCAAGTGCCTCTTCTAGGGGCTGTCTTTCCCTGGAGAGCTGAGCAAAGAGAAAGTAGGAACCAGACTCTACATTATTACACGAAATTCAGCATGCAGCCTTCCTGGCAGTTAGATTACGTCAAGTGTAATAAGTCACAGAATGTTAAAAATCTAGTAAGAGCTGGAAGGGACCTTTTGAAAGGAAGGAAAACCATCCCCTGTGACACATGCTTGTACAAGGATCTGATGACACCCTCTTTACTACGTTGTGTTTAACCAGCATTGTGCTGATGACGTAGAGACACTCTGCCCCCATGAAGGCATTCCTTTCACCTCTAAAATCCATCATCTCCAGCCCTAGAGATATTTTTTTAAGAGATATTCTTAATACTTGAAATTGGGTGTGAGGGCCAGTCTGCTATGACTGTTCTACCCAGCAGAGCTTCAGCTTCTCCCACTTTTCTACTACCTAGAAAAATCTCTGCTCTCAGCAGAGTGGCCTCCCCAGGGGACCAAACAGTGCCCATCTCCCATGAGTTGGCCACCTCCCAACCAGCGCCTTCTCCGCTTCCAGATACCTGGCTCAGCCGGACCCAGAATATTTCTCACCATGGTCATGTAAGTGGCCTCTGGTTTTCCACTTGATTCTTCTTCGTCGATCACCTCTTGTGTAGTTATTGAGGAATAAATATGCTTCTGGAGAGGGGAAAACTCAGATAAGTGTTCCTACAACTCAACAAACCTTGCCAGAGAAAAGGTTATTTGGCACGATCCATGGGGCATCAACCACCAAAACCAGCAGGTTCAGGGCGAAGGTTATAGCTCAGTGGTAGAGTGCACGCACAAGGCCCTGGGTTCAATGGCAGTACCTCCATTAAAAATAAATGAAAACCTAATTACCTACCACCATCAAAAATTTTTTTAATAAATTTTAAAAACCAGTAGGTTCAAGAAAAAAAATAAACTAAATAAAAACCAGTAGGTTCAGAAGGTTGCTGTGAGCTAGAGAATTATCATAGATCACGATAACTCAGTCCTCAGTCTTCCTGAGAATTAAGAAAATTAACTCATCAGCAAAGAGCGCTATCTTAAGAACCAAATTCTTAGTTTCAAAAGTCAAACGTCTTTGTTCGGCTGGACATTAGGTAGCAGCAGAGAATCCTTATCTTGTCAAATTATTTGTACTTTGTGATTATTTCCTTCAACTTGGAGTTGTGGCAGGCAGGACGGCATTAATCAGCAGTGAACTGCTATCATCTCTTTCAGAGGGTGTATGTGGCAGGAACAGCCCTCACTGAACTTGAGGTCTATGAGGTCAGAGGTGCTTTGTGATTCCTGTTCCTGTCACTATTTGGGGAAGCAATGTCATCTAGCGACAAATTCTTGGACTTCTGGAGTCTCTAGCACTACATTGTGAGAAAATCCTATTCTTGGGTCACATTCAGCCCAAAGTTGGAAAAGTAAGTATTCCAAGAGGAGATTTTGAACAAGAGACAGGTAGGTAGGTAGGTAGGTAGGAAGGTAGGAAGGAAGGAAGGAAGGAAGGAAGGAAGGAAGGAAGGAAGGAAGGAAGGAAGGAAGGAAGAAAAGAAGGAAGGGTTCCCCAATATTTAATCTGAACCATTAACTCCTGGACTTAACTCCAGAACGTATCGTAATTCTCCCTTATATTCTTACAGCACCTCATAGATTACGAAGCACCTGCATATCATCATGTTATCTGAACCTGACAACAGGACAAACAGGTTTATCTTTATCCTCCTTTTACTGATGAGAAAGGGGGTGCTGAGGGAGGGGGCAAGGCAGGGCTTGAACTGGGTCTTTCTGATTCCAAGCCCAGTTCTCTTCCCTGGGGCCCTCCAAGGATGTGCTGGTCTGCTGGGCCGGCCCAGCCCGCCCTGCCCACTCTCTCCTCGGGGAACTCTTACTGCAGTGATGAAGGCTTCCTGAGCCCCTGCTCTGTGCCAGGCACCGAGACGTAAGGATGAGTGAGACACAGCTCACAGAAGCATGACAGTGACACCACTTTGACGCTGGAGCAGTCTCCACCTCGCCCCTACTGGGCAGGGCGGCAAAAAGGCAGAGAGTTCTTCTCTTACCTCTGGATGAGCCTTGTTTGTGTTCTCCAGGCTTCTGACCAGGGTCGTAGAAGTTACTGAGCTGCAAAGGCGTGAAAAGCATATGAAATTAATCAGCCAGCACCGTATATCCCAGGGTGCCGACATGAGACCCCACAGAGCTCTGTGAAGAGAGACCCCAAAGGAGGAATCTCTGGACAACTACAGCCAGTGCTCCCCTGCTCAACTTGAAATCTGAGGGGTGAACCTCTTTAACGGAGAGCAGAAAGGCATTCTGGAGATGGTCTGGCCTGAATGACAGCTTCAACCTCTCCATTGTCACCCTAACAACTCTGTGTCCATGACAATTATAAGTGAATTGACAGAGAGGGGCCATGGGCTTTAAGAGATTTACCATTTCTGAGGACTAGGGAGATGCATCTGCACCAGCAGGGGGCAGCAGAAGCTCAGCGAAACACCTGTTCAAAGGGCTCCTGGCCTCTTCCAGGGAGGAGGCCAAGCAGAATGAACCCCACAAACACCCCAGGCTGAGCTCTGGCCCCTTCCCTGACCTTAGTCTTTGATCTCTTGGCCACCTGCCTTCTGCAATCGCCACTGAATATACTTCCTTTTTTTCTATTTTGGCCTAAAGTAGAGGTTAAAAAAAAAAATCAGGGTTAAAGCTAGAAAAGAAACCATATTTTTTTGTCTCAAAGTGGAAATATTTTCATCGTATTTTCTGACTATGAAATTCTATACTCTCGTTGTAAAAAAAAATTCAAATAACAGACATATAGACAGTTGGAACTTGAAGTTCCACGAAACCCCCTATCCTCATGGGACCCACTTTTTTTTTAAATCCCAAATATCCCTATTAATATTTTAGAATTATTCTTCTAAACGTCTCTCAATGCAAGCATAAGTAAACTCATACAAAGTCTATTTAGTATTTTTGCCGCTGAAGTGAACATTATGTAATCTTTTTTATACAAATGAGACCATACTATATATATTGTATAATACCGCCCTTTAGACACCCTTCCTTGTCATTGCACAGGGCTGTGCAGTATTTCACTGAATGAAATACCAATTCATTGAATCATTACCTTTCTGACAGACACTGAGAATGAGTTCAATTTTTAATTATAATCAATGGCTCCAGTGAGCATGTTTATGCACACATCTCAGCACACCCATCTGATTATTTCTTTAAACTAGGAGGCAGACCTAGGAGTGCTGCTCTTCCTTTTGAGGGAACCTGAGGCCCAGAGCAGGGAAGTGAGCTGATACGGGGCTCAGGTAGTGGAATCCTCAGTTCTGTGCTGTCTGTGTGCCCAGAGCAAAACAAGTTCAAAACCAAGTCAGAGAGCTCCTGGGGAGTCAAGCATAAACCCAGCAGGCACAAGCACTTTCTACACAATCCATGTTCCCCGGGGGGAAGGAGACTCAAAGGTCAGCATTACTTCATCTTAATGGGGGTTCTTTCTCATTGACACTATTTCAACAAAAGAGTCAACTTGCCCTAGCAATATATTTCATCAATAGTTGGGTAAACTGAAGGACGTGGACCTGCCCACAGCCACTACAGCACTAGCACCCCTGCCAGAGCATCTGGGCATTACTGAGACACTGGGAGAGCTACTGCAAACTCAAGTCTTTAAAAACACATTTCAACAACAAATAATTTAGGGCCCAAGGCCATCCATTCAAAAGTAGCTTCTCATGACTACACTTCAATAAAAAATAAGAATTTTTTTAAAAAGTAGCATCTCATAATTAAAATGTGGTCCTTTAAATAAAGCCACTGACAAACCTCAAAATCTACGCTTCTCTATGAAGTGTATACAAACTATGGATAATTCAAAAATCATTTCTCTCAGGCATTGAATGGCATCATTATGGTTCTCACTTGAGATTTATACTCTTAATTATGCTCTATGAGACCCGCATTTGTGAAAGTCTTTGTAATCTTTGTAAAACGAGGATGGGGTGGGAACGTGCAGGCCTTTCGGGAGCACAATGAGCAAAGGGGGTGGGGTCTCTATACAGATGACATCTAATGTGACAGCCACAAATGATTCCAGTTTAAAATACCCCCTTCTGTGAAAATGGAACCATCAGGATCCCATCACTTTGCTTCACTTCAGGCTAGAGGCACCTCCAGCCTCCTTGCCCAAGAGATGGGAGCAGCCCTGTACCTCTTATTCCTGTGGGTCCTCTTCACGATCAGTATCAGAACAGGCAGCAGCAGGATGGTGGCGCAGATAATCCCCACAATGGTCACCAGCTGATTACCACCCAGAATCTCAGGTATGAGGGCTGCTGGAGTCACCAATGCTTGGGAAAGGAGGAAAGCAATGAGAGGGCCTCAATATCCCAGAAAAGTGCCAAGAGCCTCACCAGTTCTATACCAAGTAGCAACAGCCAGGTCAGGAAGTGGGGGGAGCAGGCCAGACTCCACTTCATGTTGAAACACTGGGACTCCGGTTGTCCCCATTAGATTGAAAACAAAAGTCCACCGACCCTCTTGCTTATCCCTAAAATGTAGATGAAGTGGGTGGGAGAAGAGAGTATCACCTCACCTACAGGAGAGTTTCCTTTCTTATTAACAATTCTATCTGAAAACATGGTTTACCAAATGGCATAGAAATAAGAGACATTTTAGAGGCTGTTGACCTTTCTATGGGAAAGTGACTATTTTCAAAAGGATCTGCATTACAACACTCAGCCCCATAGTTGTGACTCCTAGGAGGGCACTTCCACCCATATGGCAGCCTGCGCTCACTTCCTCAGTTCACTCTAAACACATGCGTCAAACACCTGCTGGGTGCCAGATGTCACTAGGCACAGACGATACAAAGACAAGTAACGCATCGTCCCTGCCTTCCAGGAGAGGGACAAACATGTAAAGAGAAAACCACAGACAGCAGGTACTATGGCAGCTGTCCGTATGGGGAACAGGGGGGCGCAGAGGAAAGGGTACCCAGTTCTACAGGGAGCAGAACCTGAGAATCTGTCAGCAAAAGTTTTAAAGTTTAAGCTGAATCTTAAAGGAAACATCAAGTTTTGTTTTGTTTTGTTTTCTGGCATACAGTTTGGGGAAGGATGGAGGGGACACTGCGCATAAGGTCTGCTGGCCTGACAGGCTGGTGATTTCAGAAACCAGCAAGAGTTCCATGGGTCTGGCTCAAAGGTTGTGTCCGTGGGTGTGGTGGGGAATGAGGCTGGACAGAACAGGATCGGAGTCATAAAGAATCTGGATTATCCCTACGAGATTCCAGAGGCAATGAAGACAACATTGCAAGATTACAAGCAATGGGATAGAACGTTCAGATCTGAGATTCAGAAAGGGGGCCCTGAGGGCTGCATGAAGAATGAGCGGTAGAGGCTGAGGCTGAAAGCAGAGGCTGGTTAGAGGCCTGCAGTCCAAGGCAGAGATGACGACAGCCAGAAGGTGGGGTGGCGGCCTGGGAAGAAGGCAGATCCAAAGTCAACAGAAGAGATGACAGGACATGTTGACCTGCTAGACGCGGGGTCACAGGGAAGGGAAGAATCAAGTCCAACTCCCAGGCATCTAGTTACATAACTGTGTAGACAGCGGTGGCATTCACTGAGGTTGAAGAGGCGGGCTGGGGAGAGGTGAGCAGGGGTAGGCTGGCGTATGTATTTGAAGTACTTGCAGAATATTTGGGTGGAGTTCATATACATAGAGATAGATAAGTCGTGTCTAACATAAAACATATTGAATATACAGAGAATTTAGTGTTCAGTGCTACTGAGGTAGAGAAGGCTGAGGCTGGGCAAGCAGAGCACCACTGGTGATCCGCGCTAGAGATGGAAGCAGAAGCCTGAATCCAGCGCACCAGGAGTTAATGGGAGGCCAGACACGAGACGCGTGTACAGCCCTTTAGTAAGCTATCTGGCTGCGTCAAGAAAGAAATATATAGTTGATTGTGGTGTGAAGGTTGCACAACCTGGGATATACTAAAAACCATTGAGTTGTACACTTTAAATGGGTGACTCGTACGGTATGTGAGTTGTATCTCAATAAAGCGGTTTTAGGAAAAAGAAAGATACAGGATGAGAGCTAAGGCAGACAAGGACACAGGTGAGAGGAAGAGATGAGTGTATTTATATGCTGAATGGTAGAAGCCCATGGAAAGTAAAGAGCTGTGTTGTGAGGTTTCTGAGAAGGAGGTGCATGTGTCACCTGAGCACAGGGGCTCACATAAGCCCTGGGCGGAAGGAAGCTCAGGACGGAGGGGCAGAGATGAGCATAGGGGCAAAGGTAGTTATGTCTGTGGGAGGGGAAGGTTTGGAAATTGAATGAGCTCCCACTAATGGCTTGTATTTTCTCTGTGAAGTGGAGAGAAGACTTCTGAGAGTGAAGAAAGCCATCTGTTCTGCCTTCTTCTCCAGCTGGGATCCTTTGCAGTTAACAAGAAGGTGCCTCCATAGACTTAAGTCACTGGCCAGAGGTACTGAGGTGTGTTCCATCTCACCCTCATCTGACCACAGCCAACCACTGGGGCCCTTGCAAAAGGCAAAGTCCACAGGCCACATCCTGATTGCTAACTGGGTTATGGTTTAACTTTACCCCCTCACTTATCAACCTTCCTCAGTCAATATGATTGAGTTTGTATCCTCCTAAATATCACTGACCTTAATGCACAGTGTTTGCTAGAATACAGAACTTTTGATCAGGAAACCCCTCTATTTTTGGTTCTGGCCCCTTCCTGTTTCCTCTCTGTTTTTTCCTGTCTCTCGCCAGCTCAGAATCATCTTCCCTTCCACTACAGAGCACAGAGCATCTTCCTTGAAGCCAAGTAAAAAGACCCCAATCCATCTCCGAGCTCCTGTATCTTTAAATTGGTATTATACAGATGATGAGTGAGGTCTGGCAGAGGGCTGGGGTTCACCAAGTATTGGCTCTTTCTGCCTTGACCTACCAACAGGAAGAACTAGGATGAAGCAAGCAAGGTGCCTAGGGCACCAAATTTAAGGAGGTATCACTCTCAAGGTCATGCAAGCATAGCGTTCAAGTGCTTGATAAGTACTAACCTTGGGCTTCTCAGGGTCACCTGAGAGTAATGCCACCTTAAATTTTGCACTCTAGAAGCCTTTCCAGCCTCACACCCTAGTCCTGGCCATGCCCACCAGCTACGAGGCCCCTCCTCCCTCCCTGGCCAAATGTGAGTTACTTCGGGGCTCTTTCAGGATCACGTGCAGCACAATGGTTTTCCTGAATGTCAGGTTCCCCAGGTGGATACTGCAGGTGTAGTTTCCTCCGTCAGACTCCTTCACTCCTTGGAGCCTAATGGAGCCATCGTTGTGGGAAATATCCCCCACCAGGTTTACGCGGTTCTGGAATCGGCCCCAGTTCTGGGGGTACCCCTTGGATGCGTTGAGTTTGGGGTAATAGCGCAACACGATCTCCTCCTAGAAGGGAAAGGGAAAACGTATGACATGGAAGGACTAGGGTAGAGGGGCACGGGGAAGGCTGAGAGGGGAGCTCTCAGCACCTACAAGGCCCTGGGTATGGAAGCAGTAAAGGTATTATCAGAAATTTCTAGAGAACACAAAGGCACATACATGTATCTGTAAGCACATAGTTGTGAAGGATGCCACCGAACCATAACAACTCTTCCATCTCGAGAGGAGGGATGAGGACAGTGGGAATAAGGGACTTTCAGTTTTTTGCACTTTTCCAGTAAAAAGAAAGTAGAAATACACCTTTACTTTTTATGGCATTTCCAGTTGGATTTCCAATAGGCACCCAAAACATGTCTAAAAGTGAATTCCAAGTTCTCCCCCCAAACCAGTTCCTTCTTATCCATCCCATTTTGGTAAATGGCAACGTCTTCTTCCACACACTCAGGTTAAAAGTCTTGGAGTCATTCTTAATTCCTCTATTTTTTGAACTCACACCTAATCCCTTAACAAGTCCTATCACCTTTACTTTCAAAATACATCCCAAATCTAGGCACTTCTAGCCTCCGCACCTGCTTACTCCCCACTACAGTCTATTCTCAGCAGATGAACCTTTTGAAATATAAGTTAAATCATGTCATTCCTCTGCCCAAAACCTTCAACTAGCCCCTCATTTCTACTAAAAGTACAAAGCCTTCCATGATCTGCCCCACCCCCTTTTCCTCTCTGATTTCATCTTCTACTTGCCTTTTCTTCACCTACTTGAGTCACTTCACCCCAGCCACCCCAGCCTCCTTGCTGCTCCTTGAGTACTGGCCTCGGGGCCTTTGCACATGCTGCTTCCTATGCCTGGAACGTTCTTCCCCCAGACATACACGTTTTTGCCTCCTTCACTTCCTTCAGAACCCTGCCCAAATGTCACCTTTTTAGTGAGGCCTTCCTGACCACCTCTATAAAATAACAACCACAGAACCCTGCTTTCTGGTTCTCCATAATTCTTACAGCTACCTGAAATATTATGTATTTACTTCTTCACTATTTTACTATGTATCTCCCTCCATCTTGATTGTAAGTCCCCATCAGTGCAGGGATTTTGAGGATTCACTGCATAGCAGATGTTTTAAAAGTGCTTGTTAAATAAATAAGTGTTAGGATTTTTTATAAAGGTATATAAATTTTTTAATTTGTTTTTTATTGAAGTGTAGTTGATTTACAATTTCAGGTGTACAATAAAGTGATTCAGTTATACATATACATACTTTTTTTTCCATTATATGTTATTATAAGAAATTGAATATAGTTCCCTGTGCTATATAAATATTTTTTTAAAAAAGCTTTTAAGAAAAGGAAATGAGTATACAGACACAAATACAAATGAAAAGATCTGGCCCCTGATCTCTTGTCTCTAGTGATTCAAATTCGCAACTCAGAATGTCAACTCTTACCCTATTATCTGTGGTGACTCACTTGGTCAATGACGTCTACATTCATGACAAGCTCCAAAGGTGAACCTGGAACTACATGCAATTCCCCATACTCCACCATGATGCCACCCTCTCTGACCCACTCAGACAGAGCATAGGATTCAAGTGAGTATAGATGACTTTTTGTAGGGATGATCTGGAATGTCCTAATTTATAACAGTTAAATCTTTTCTAAACTTCGAATCTTAACTTTTATTAACAATAACTTAGCTGGGATGTCTCTCACAACACACCTTGACCCATCAGGACATCATCATGCCATAGCTGACATCTGCTGGTCTAATGAACTAACTTGATGTTTACTGCTTCAGAGTTCCCGTGAAATACTCCTCACCCTGGCCCCCAAGACCTCCTAATCCCAACATGTGAAGTATCCATGAAGATAAAGAAAATTCCTTCCATCACATAAATGGGGCAACAGGGCAGAGAAGAAAACTCACAAAAATAACCCGAATAAGAAAAAGAATGCAATCGTTTCTTATGCCCAGCCCACAGCTTTCCTAACTAGGCCACAAAAACCACCCCCCTTATTCTCTGTGGACTCTACAAAGAGAAGGGAGCAGAGGAGTTAAACTAAAATGCAGTGGCCACGTCATGTTCAAATGCTTTATGTGGACAGTCTCCTATAAGCATCTTGACAGCCCAAAAAGTTGAGTGGCAGGAACATCTACTTTTCTTCCTTGTCTTCATTAGTCATTTTTCCCAACAAGGAAGCTGAAATTGCCTGGCTGAGTGGCTGAGGTAAGAGGTCCAGTTATGACAAGCCCTGAAGCTCAGCCCTTGCATAGGCACCACCACCTGGCCCCTGGGGCCTGGACTCTTCGTCTCCCCACACGGTCTTTATACTACTTCTACACAGTGATGGTTCTCCCCTTACCTTGGCGCGCTCTCCTGACGAGAACATCCAGTCTACCCTGGTCACGTGCTTCTCTTCCGTGCTCTGGAAAACACATCCCATCTGAGTCGAATCACCCACATGAACCATGAGCTCTGGGGATAAAATGGTAAATCAAGTCAAACTCAAGGTATAATCTACAGAAGCCAAAGAACTTCTAGAAGAGATCATGTTAGCCAAAGATCCCTAGGCAGTAAAATCAATGTCACCACCAAATCCTGCACATGTTCCCTCCACAGACAACCCAGATGACTCTGCGATTCTCAAAATACTCAGAGGCCTCTCACTCCAACTGACACGACACTCCAAGGATGAGAGAAAACTCCAGCTACTGACATACTATCAGGTCTGAGGGGTCCCACTGTCTTCATACTCCAGTACACACTTTCTGGCTCCCTTTAATTCCTTTCTCCGTCTCCTTTTCAGGAACTTCCCCCACAAGCCCCACCTCCACCTCAAGCTTGTAATAAAGAAAGTACGGAAAACCTTGAAGCCCCCCACTGTCTGTTCACCAACTTAGGTAACATAAACAGGAAGTGGAAAGTTATATAACTCTCATTCTTGTAAAAAGAAACCTACTGGCTCTCCTAGCTGAAAAACTGAATCATGGGTGACTCTCTCCAATTTCTTTTATTCTTTTACAAGTTGTCTTAGGACTTGCTTAGGACAATTCTGGCTACAGTACAGGTCACAGGACTGCTTGCTAATTGGGCCAACAGACAGCTTTCCTCCTGACTTTTCTTTCTGCTTTAATCCCTGCCCCCACTTCCCGACCTGCTCTCCCTTCCCCTGCTCTTGGCTTTCCAACTCAGAGCCTCTTCCCCCTATTTGTCTGCATAAGCAGTTTACCCCATCCTATGTGTACTGCTGAAGTCATTTCAAGAGGTCCCTGAAAAAGAAAACAATTAGGAATACGCTTCTGATTTTTCAATAGTGCTCCATACAAATCAACCACAAAGTCAATTAAGAAATGAAAGGCAGGATGGTATTTAAGGGAGACACAAGCTTAGGTCTTAACTGGACAGAGTTCCTTTAAAAGAGCATTAAGCAAAGCTCATAAAGGAACACAGTAGCTCAGCTAAGCTTTTATCCCAATTGTTTCCCTGGAAGAACATTAACTTCCTGCCCGGCAGAAAATATGCACAATGAAAAGAAAGCAAAAGAAAACATTATAAGCTCAAAACTCGATGGAGGGAACTAGTTTGGAAATAACAAAAATTTACTCCAAAGAATAACAATAGGGAAGGAAACTCCCTCTAAATCTATGAGCATATTAAGAACTGAACCCTGTTTTTTTAAACGCAGTTGTAAGAACTGAACGTGCTGAGTCCTTTCAACACAACAGACAAGTGCCAGACACCTTGTACGCAGGCTATCACCTAGTCATCACAGTATTTTGAGATGTGAACTATTACTGTCCCACTTCACAGAGGAAGACAGTGAAAGAGCCCAGAGCTTCGTGGCTAGTAAAAGGCAGAGCCTGCACTCAAACCCAGGCCTGCGCTTTCCCACTCACCATTACTATCACCACCTCACATAAGTGGAAGGAGGGCTGATTCTAGCAGAGAAGTGCAGGAAGTTAATATTATTTTTATTTGAAAGAATATTGTCTATAGTGTTTAAAATAAGAACTATGAATAAAGGAATTGAAGCAGTAGAAACATAGAAAACTTACAAACTGAAGAGTCAACTTTGTGGAGGAAATGATAGATGAGTTGTTACATGGGAAGAGAAGGCCACCGGGCAAATGGTTAGGTGTTAGATCTATTCCCACTCCGGCTGGAAGGTAAAAATCAATACAAGTTGCTCTTCTGGCTACTGGGGAATATCTGACCACCCCTAAAATTGTTTTAGCCTGCTTCCATGGACTCAACTCTTGAAACTGCCTCCTTTGAATTCGTTGCGCCTGAGACTTTTCTGAGCAGAAAAAGGCACCCGTTTTGTAGGCCATGCTTCTATGGACAAGCGTTTGGACAGAGCATCAGAGGACAAAGCCGGAGGGGGTAACCCAAAAATTATCCCGGGGAACACAAGCAACTGGTTTGTTTCCTTTTCCTGGAGAGCCATAGCTTTGGAATCAAAAGAAAAATGCAGTGGGAAAAAAGTAGGAAAAATTAAGAGAGAGGCCAGAGGCCACCTTCTACAATTCCTTCTGCAGCTCCATTTTTCAGAAATCAGATTCAAGTGAGGGACGCTAATTTAAGAATTTCACTCATTCGACAAGTGTTTACTGATTGCTTATTCTGTGTGAGGCACTGTGCCTACGGCTGGTCATGGGACAAAGAACACAGACCCAGGTGAACAGGGGGCACAAACTGAACAGCTGTGATGAGTGTCGCCCAAGAGGAGGACAAGGTGCTCCAAAGGAATTCACTGAAAAGAACGGACCTAAACGAGCTGGCAGAGAGAAGGGGATCCAGATTCTAGCTCCCAAGCTAGACAGCAAGCTCTCCTGAGGTCACAGAATGTTCCTTCTGTCTCACACTTCTAAAGAATGTATCTAATTCTGTGCTTTTCAAACGTTTTAAAGCAGCATAATTCTTTCTTCAAACAAAATCCCACCCGGCAGCCCAATGAATAAAAGAGGAAAAAGGAAAAGGACTTTGATTGTAGTGGAGGTGGAAGCCTGAGTCCTACCTGACTGGGTCCTCTATCAACCCCCTGCCCTGTCCTCACCCTTGGTGTGGCCTACCAGGTTCCTTGGACCTGAAGGGTTCTTCAGGACACAGTTTGTAAAACCAACAATCTACTGACGCCATTTATAAGTGGTGGTGAAAAGGAGGTCCTAGGAAGTTAGAGAGATCTGCTCGTTTCTTTTGTGTCCCCCAGAACACCTAACGTAGGTACCTACAAAATATGGACACAGCATCCATGTGGAAAACTGATGGGAAGCATCAGAGTATAATAAAAAGAACACAGATTTGTTGACAGAGGTGCCCGGGTTCAGGTACTAGATATGCCATTTAATAAGTAGGTGTCCTTAGGCAAGTCACTTAACCTCTCTAAGCCTCAGTTGCCTCATCTGTAAAATGAAAAGAAGAATACAATACTTCTTTCATGGCATTTTCATGAGGATGATATATGTTTAGAGTAATAATAAAATAGCAATTATTTTTATTTAAAGAGCATCATTTATTGAGGACTTACTCCGTGGTAAGTACCTAGCCCAATGGCTGGCATTTGCTCAACAAAATCAGTTCCTTTCCCTCTCTGCACATCCAATCTCCTGCCCCTTCGCCCTTCTCTGAGTAAGCATTCATGTACCTGTGGGCTCCTCTGGGAGTACATGCAGCACCACTGCTTTCTTGAACACCAGGCTCTCCATTTCGAAGCGGATTTCACAGGTGTAGGTTCCCTGGTCAGCCTCTTCCACATTTTGGAGCAGGAGAGAACCATCATGGTGTGAGATGTCCCCTACCAAGCGCGCACGATTCTGGAAGCGCCCCACAGGCACGCTGATGTTGGCATAATAGAACAGCACGAAATTGTCCTGGAGGGCAACACAATGTCAGAGAAAATCCACAGTCAGTGGCACCAGACCTTGGAGTCTGGATTCAAAAGGCCCTGTTCTGTGGAGGCAGCATAGCCTTCTTTATCACTGTAATCACAAAGTACCTGGTACCCAGGTAATTAATAATAATAATAATAATAATAATAATAATAATAATAATAATAATAATAATAAATAATAAGCCAGACAATACTGTAACTTGCACAAGACTCTGTGGCTCCTTTTACACAAAGACAAATGGAGAAATAGGGTTGACACACTTTCATTTCTTACAGTTTAAGATGAAATGTAACACCCACCCTGAAGATCAGTCTGGGGATTCAAACTCACAGTTTCTGAAAAGCATCTCCCATCTTCACCCTGTTTTCTGCCCTGGGCCCCAGATTAGAGGGCATTCAAAGATATGATGCAATCTGACAGACTGGTTGTTGTGAGAATCCTCAACATGTTGGCTGTCACTCCTCTCCCTTCTGCCCTCCTCCAGGCAGCGTATTATAAGGCATAAGGAGTCACCAATGGGGAATGGTTTACAGACTTGCAGGGGGAGCCCTGGGGAATTCTTATTTTTACTTAGACCATGGATATAGCCCCCTTATGACAATAAATAGTAATAAGAATTTGAGTGACAGTAGCATTATGGGGATAACACGCTCTGAGCTACAAAAGCAGTATTTCATTTGCAAACGTTGGAATTTTATTGTTAGTGATACATTGCTTAGGACATATTTCACAAATGACCCTGACATACAAGTATCTCCACAAAACCTCTGATGAGGCTTAACACGCTGTTTCCTACTGCAAAGAGCTCCCATGAAAGGGCTTCACTCAGCCATGCTCAATCTGCTAATCCCAACGCTTTAAGCAACCATGAAGGAGAAAGAGATGATTCCCCAGCACAGAAATGGGTCAGTGGAATGCTGAAACAATCTGCCCCCCACCATCCCCCGTGCCAAAAAAAAAAAAAAAGATTACTGCGGCATCACTCCTGGGCCTGGGCTATAACTCTGTTGTCTAGACCACTCTTCTTACCCCTCCCACCTACCTATGCCACTCACAAATGGGAGAAATAGAGAAAATAAACTAAAATAACTTTATGTATATGTCTCCCATTAACTTCTCAATGACCTGAAAAGTAAGCATTACCATTATCATAGTTACCTTCATCTTCACAGATGGGGAAGCTGAAGCTCAGAGAGGCTGAGTAACTTGCCCAGCTGATTACACAGCCAAGGGGCCAGACTAGAAGGGGGTTCAGTTCTGACAAGCTCCAGAGCCCAGGCTCTTGCAAGCACCACCTCATGGTGCCAGACGACCTGATTCTCCCTCTCCCTACACTGTTCTGACACCATCAGCCAGGGGCTTCTAAGACACAGCAGTGCTTCCTCCTTGTTACCTTGACATGCTCTCCTGATGAGAACATCCAGTCTACCTTGGTCACATGTTTTTCTTCCGTGCTCTGGAAAACACATCCCATCAGGGCTGAATCACCCACAGAGACTGTTAACTCAATCGAGTCATCCAGGCCTAAGGAGTAATCTACAGAAGTCAAAAAACAGGAGACATCATTCAGACAAACACGCTCAACAACAAAAATTAGTATTAATCACCAAGTGCTATGCAACTTCCCTCCCCAGGTGACCCAACATGGACAAAGGCCCCTCATTCAAACCAGCATGACATTCCCAAGGGTAAGAGGAATACACTGTAGTTACCCCCACGTGGCTCAAGTCAGAGGGGTTCTACAATCTTCACACTGTATAAATGCTAACTGATTCCATGCTCCTAGCTAGTCCCTCCTTCCTCTTTTCTAGAATTCCTCCTCACAAACTTCTTTGTAAAGAAAGAAGAAAAACCCTGACCTCTCCTTTCAGGTCATGGATTTAGACATCGATCAACAGGATGGGGTGTCTCTTGCTCCTAGTTTCCCACCAGCTCCCTATCTGAAAAGCCAGTTCACAGGTATTTTTGCTTCATTCTGCTCTTCTCTGTCTTTAGTTCCTTTACAAAAGCTTATCTCTGAATTTGCAGGCTGATCCTGGCTGTAGTGCAGGTCCTTGTAATTAGGCCAATACAGAGCACAGCTCTTCCCTTGAATTCCTTTGTGTTTGGCCTTCTCCCCACCTCTCCCTGCTTCCAGCTCTGCCCTCAGCCCTGGCTTTTCAGCCTCTAGGTGTTAGCCCAGTGGGGTGCTGCTCCACCATCTGTATGTTGTTCAAGTAATTTCTCTTTGCACCTAAAGAGAAAACCACTACATGGCTGTTTCTATTTTCACAAGATATGCTCTATGCAAAAAGACCACAACATCAAGAAAGACGTGTTTAGATGCTGGCCAGTTCGTATCAAAGAAGAGCCAATGAACGCATATGGGAATAAACAGAAAATATGCTGGCCTCTTCATCCAAGCTGTTGACCTGAGAGAAGAGCGGTAACTTCCTGGCCAACAGCAGGCGCACACGGTGGGGAGGATGGAAAAGAAAACGTGAACTCTACACCCTTTGGGGGGAATTATTTTGAAAGAAATCAAAAGCACCTTCAAAAACAATTTGGAATTTTCCCGTAAGGAAGAACTGAGCAACTTTATGTGCGGTTAGAGGTCTAAGAAGCTAGTTTAATATGAAGGGTACTGGATGGAGAATTAAATGAATGTTTGCTAGAAACCAAGAGCAACAACCAAAGCAAAGAGAATCTCATACCTGATGGGGAACCTTTATAGAGAAATGGTTGAAGAAAAGGAGGCTTTCTACAGAGGAGGAAAACCTCTCCACCAAGAAAATCAAAATCCCCAATGTTACCAAGCCACTCCACAAAGGGTTGATCAGCTCTCTAAATAGAACGGCCAAACCTGCAGGCTGCTTCACACACCTCTGAGGAAATGTCTAAATAGCCTCTGAGATCATTATAGCCCTGATTCCATGAAAAAAAATTTCTTTAATACACACCATTTTCTTGTGTGCGTGTGTCTGTCTGCCTGCATGTCTGAGCACACGCAATGCTGCCTGGAATTTGAACAGAGACAATTCTTTCGTTCACTTTCCCAAGTCAGTGTTTAGGTCACTATGCAGAGTTTAAAAAACGAATAATAAAGAGAAAAATAAAAGGCTATGAGAGCAAAGCACCTCATTCATTTATCCTTCCCACTGAGCTATATCCACGGGATAGAAAGACAAGGGGGCAAAAAGGAGGGAAAAGTTAGCAAGAAATGGGATGCGCAGGAAGCAGCAGCCCTGAGCCCTTCAGTCCGCGGGAACAGGAGACTCCAGCCAGGCGTGAGCAGCTGGAGCAGGCTTTTTAGAAGGAAGTGGAGCTTAAGGGGAAAGCTGAACGATACAGAAGTCTTAGGCAGGCTCGCTAGAGTGAGGTGGGGAGGGAAGGTTCCAGGCAAAAGAAACCACCCAAAATTGGGACAGAGCTCAGTACATTTGAGGAACTGCAAGAAGGCTTGCGTGGCTAAAGCATGAAAAAATTACAGGGCTTCTTTGGTGATTTCATTTCCTGATCTGAGCCTAGCTATGGTTTAAAAGATAACGATTTAAAGTGCAGGAATGCCTGTGAGAAACTTACAGAAAGTTCAAAGAGAATCCCATAGGAAGGTCCTGGAACACCCAGTAAGAACCCAAAGGCATTTTGTTTCTAATAGAAACAGAGGAATAGACAGTCAGCTTTCCAAGAAAGAGCCTGCTACCTGGCCTCTGAAACAGCTGTTTTGTTTCAGCAAAACAGCTGTTTCAGCAAAACAACTGTTTCAACAAAACTATGAAGTTCCAGATTGGAGTTTCCATTTTCAACAAACCAAAGGGAAATGAAAATACATAAAACTGGCTTTTGAAAATGCATGCGACTTAGGAGAAATTAAACACCCTCCTTGGTCCCTTGGCTTCTACTTACCCAGTAACACTGGCATCAGGATGAGTTTCAGTGGGTGAAACATGCTGCCTTCAATTTTTCAATCTTAAGATAAAAGAAAAAAAAGTCAGAAAACAGTGTCAAGAGAAGTTCATTAATTTAACAAATCAATAGTGAATGTCTCTGCCTGAGGCACTGGGATGCGGCATTGAACAGGAAGACAGTGTAGTCTGCATGTGGGGGGAGATGGAGAGGAAACAGCAGCAAATGAATGAATAAGAAAGAGCAGATGCTGGTAACCGCTATGATGAAACAAAACAGACTGGTGTTTAGAGAGTCACTTGGGGCTGCTTCAGACAGGTGGTGAGGGAAGATTAGATGAAAGTTAATTTTCAAGATAAAAAAAAAAACAAAAACAAATAAAAAAGCAAATAATTCCGATACCCTTGAGATGACAACCCTAGACGTTCTACAGCCTGAGGGTTTTACATAAACAAAACGTTCCAGGATACTCAGCCTGAAACTCCTACCTATCTCTCCAACTCAGATAAAATTACTACTTTTAAGTGTATGAAGAATGTTCCAGACGTGTAGGAAAGGAGATGTGCAAGTAAGGGGAAATTTTTCAACTCAGTTAAGGTATTCACCAAGTTCTATGACTCAAAGAAGACATATGAAAAAATCTATGGAGAGTGTTTTTCTTTTTCTCATTTTTCAATTTTTTAGGCAGGATAGAAAGGGCACAATGAGAACTGGGCTGTCCATGGGCATAAGTATTTTTTAAATCTGTATTATCTCTGTTGTATTAATTTCACTGCAACCACCAGCTCCTGGGAAAAGATTTGCCATTCTCCAGAATGCCCCACAGTTTTCTTAACAAAACAGAACCCAAGCTCCAAGGAACTACAAGTCAACCAGCATTGGGTTCCTAGCTACTACTGTGGCTGGTTTCAGTCATGATCCCTGCAGCCCTAACATCCTGCCACTGGAGTAAATTCCATCGCAGAACCTGCTAGGAGGAAAGGTCTTCTTTGTGCATTAACATCATAGTACTCTACCTGGCTCTGCTGGGAAGTCTGGCACATATGGTGGCCATTTTAATTTATAAAAAATGATGACCTATGAGATTCCTTATGTATATTCTCATCAACAAAATCTTCCACCTGGAAAATCAGGGTCAAAATTTTCAAGGCAGTCCTACCTAGATATCACTTATGCAGAAAGTCAGTTGACCTTGCTGAACCTCACTTTCCTTACTTATAACATAGGGATAACACAAGGATCAAGTATGGTAACGCAGATAACGGTGCTTTGACAAATAGAAAGCATTACCACATGAGATCCTATTTGTTATAGCTTAAAAGTCAGATAGGAAGGAGTTTGTACCTTTAGGGCAGGGTTGGGGTTCTGAGCACCTACCTTTACAAGAATGGCAAACAATGAATCAGAATGAACTGGAAACTTCTTAGGTTTCAGTTCTTGAACCCCAAGACAACAATGTATAATAACTACACTGACTCAGATATACCAAAAGTCATATTAAGTTTCTTCAAACGTGAGGACATCTGATGAAAATACAAGTCTCTCTCAAGACAGCCACAGCCTTATTCCTGCTCCATGACATCAACCCCACCCCACACATACATGGGTGAGATGATAAAGGGCTTCCTTTATCTCGTAATTTTGATTCATTATATCTGGACACCTGAGATCCCTGTCGTGTTCTGGATGAATTCTTCTCCAGGGTGTTGGTTATGCTTCCTCACTGCCCAGCAAACGGCACTCATACATTCCCCAAAGCAGTCTGCTATTTGCATGGAGGAGTAATAATTGATTTACATGTCTAATCAAACCCCATCAAGTCTACACTCTCAAAGGCAAGTCCATAGGCATCTTGTTTATGACCATCCCATGCCTGTGCTACAGCATCGTAAAGCGCCTGGCATATACTGGATAAGTGCTGATAGCTGGCAATACAACCATCACGCTGCCATCAACTTAGATATCCTGTCACTGCACCACTCTATTCTAAGAGGAAACCAGCGACCCCAGAAAGACTCCGAATCTTGTCGTCAAACTCAAGACACTCAGAGCCACACCCAAACCATTTTCAAACAAATTCTAAGAAATGCACCAAAAATCTGATAAATAGAAGATACCCATTTGCAGTTGTAAGTACTCAGATACACCACCAGAACTCCATGTGAATGAATAGAGAAGCAATGATTCAACAGAAAATTCATCAATTTTTTTTTTAATTCTCTTCCTGGATCAGACCTTCCATTAACTAATTCTTTGATCTTTGGGAAACCACTTAATCTCTCTGGGCCTCATTCTTAACATTAAAGGATCAGACTTCCCCTCCTCCTAGTTAACATGGGACCACATTAGAAATCAGTAGCTGATACTCAATAAACCAGAGGAGGACGCACGCCAGGCACTATCTGAGAGCTCCATACATTAACCAGTTTAATTCTCAGAACCCCTTATGAGGTTTTATAGATGAAGAAACTAGGGCACAGACTGGTGAAGTGACTTGCCTAAAAACAGAGCAAGTGGCAGGGCCATGATTCAAACCCGAGCATTCTGGATCAAAGCCTGCTACTGCTCCTCCATGTGTGTAAAAGTAGTCCAAGAGCAAAGCTTCCCTGAACTTCATTTACCAAATCAAGATTAATCTGCTCCCCCGGACTGAATGCTCTCCCCAACCCCTTCCCCCAGGTAACTCCTGTTCATCGTTCAGATCTCAAGTTAAATGTAATTTCCTCACGGAAGCCTCTCCTGAACCACCCTTCCCAGGTCAGATCCCTAGCCACATGTTTTCATAGGACTATTTCTCTTTCCTTCAGGGCATCTGTCACAACTTCTAATTATCTATTTACTGATCTGCTTGTTTGATTAAAGTTTTGCTTTCTACCCTCACTCTCCAAGGCCATAAGTTCCATGGGGCCAAGAGCTGTGCCTCTGGCATCTCCAGGGCCGGCAGAGGAAGGTCTGGGTGGGAGCCCAGAGACCACACATCAGATGAAATAATAACACCTAACAGAGTCAAGAACACTCTAGTCCCGTTTCATGTTTCCTAGTTATTTGGCAAATATTCAGAAATTCTTACCATATAATATAGATAGATATTTTATAGAGAGAGTTCAGAATTTTATTACTCAAATATATAATTCAGCATATATATATGAATCTCAGTCTCTAAAAGTCTAATCAAAGCATTCAGATGCACATTAAGCACCTTGATACACTCCATATGAATTCTCAACGTAACCTGCTTCCTTTTCCAGATACTGATTTATCTCCTCACCAGAATGTTCTCGAGATAATTCTGCACAGGCAGTTATCTCATACGTTGGCCAAATGTTTGGAACTGAGCTCATGGTTCTTTTCACCATATAACTCTTGGCAAATATCTCCTATCACTCCTGGAGAGTTGTAACTCTCAGGACTCCTTATTCTATTATTAATAGTGTAGGGGAATTATTATCCTTGGCACGATTACAACAGGAAAAAAAAATCTTCGGAAAAGAGACTCATGGCAATGAGACTACCACACAGGATGTAGAAACGACCCCCAAATATTACAAGACGAAATAAGGGCGAGGCGCTCTGTCTCAGTCAAAGTGTCTGCCCCCAGTAAGGACAAGCAACCACCAAGCACAGCGACAACTACACCGCTTTCCCTCCTCAGGCAGCCTGCTGCACCTGCGATGCAGAGGCCCCTCAATTTACACACGGCTGTGCATCCAGGCTCTCGGATGTTTTTAGGTATACGAGTCCACATGAGCACTGTGAGGCATGGACCTCTTAAAATGCATCTGGATTTCTCCTCCCAAGACCATTTAATACAGACTGTAGGTTACATGGCTCCTTTTAATACAGTCTAGGTTGCATCGGTCAACCCTCGGCTTGAAGCGAACCTCGGAAGTCATCACTCCTGCTCTCTCCACAGGTGATACCTAAACCATCCTGCTCCATCCTTCCTGAGTTCTGGACTATGCAGAGGGTGTGGCAAGTATGGATAACAGCCTAGCTCTCTTGGGAGGTTTAAGTTCTTAACTCCTTAAGGTAAATCTTGGCCTGTCTCTGACTGGGAGAAAAGAAACAGTGTAGGAAGAATTCTGCCAAGAGTACAAGGACAGCTAGCCACATCCCCATCTAAAGCCACAGACAACTTAAGAGCTAAAGCCCTATCACCATCTCCTATCACCACCATCATCCTTCTCATCATCATTTACTCTTTTATTAAGAGCAAACCTTACTCCTCCTCTCTCTGAGGCTCTTAACATAAGTTACTCTACACTACAGAGAGGAAAACCATACCCCCTAGACTACCCTGTGGCAGTCCTCCTGCAGAGGCTGACACATCTGTGCTCGCAGCCTCACAAAAGCATCGCCAGTCACTTAAAACCTTCAGAACCAGCCTTCTCCCAAGTGAGAAAAGTTTAAGTCATTGCTTAGGAAATACAGAGCAAATGCTTACCCAAGATGAGGAACACCAGGCGAAGCGATGCACTGAGCTCTCCCGCAGCTGCAGTCTCCAAGTTCGACTGAGGAGCCTTCTGCCTGCATGGAAGGTCAGGCTCAGAGCAAACCATATGCGTGCGATCTGAGGTGGCTGCAGAGACACAAACAGGAACCTCTAAATCAAGGTTCTCATTTCAGTCATCTGGCCTATTACCCAATTTTTATTTACACTTTCATTTAAAATGAAGTAATGCGTTCACCGTACTGAGGAGAGCCTTACGTTCCAGACCTCCACAGGTGCCATCCTCCCTTCTAGATGGCAGACTCGGAGGGTGAGGTCTTGAAGGGCATCAGGCAAACACACTGAGAAAGAAACCGGCCTCATGCAAACGAAATACAGTGAACTAAGACGAACACAAAACATTTTGCTCTGTGTCTAAAACACAGCAACTTCCTTTTTTTTCCCCCTCTCAACACAGACAGGCAATATGGCCAGGCAATCACCCAATCCCTGCTTCCAAAGATATGCCTCCCCAGTCCTCCAGTTCACCACCTAGACGTGTGAATTTCCTCGAGCATGTGACATCAGCATTTCTACAATACAAGAAACATTTTATCCCCCAGAGAATCCCTTGGGTGACTTGGACATCCCAGGTAAGAACTCAAGGCTTGTTCACTTCAAGGTATCTTCTGCTTTGAAGTCATCACTTTAAAATAAGACTTCTCAGTGTACACGTCTTCAGCCTTGCCTGCATTGGCTTGGCTTTCACATGGGCATACTTGTTTTATGGAACTTGTTCTGCATCATTTGGAAAGTTCTCAAATGCTTGCTCTTCTCCAAGGTCTACGCTGAGTGGCTCTTGAGAACTGGTGTGCTGATAAGCTAGTAATTTAATAAATAGGCCAACCATGGCCTATTTCAAACTACCAACAGTCTGACAATCGCCTGGCAAACTTCCTGAAACTTTAACAATCAGCTCATACTATGTGGCTCCCCCATCCCCCTGAATCTATGTAAGTTCTTGCTGGGGTACAGCTCAGAGATGAATGGTTACCTGATGCTGAAAATCACAAACCAACCCCTTCCACTTTCACATGACAGCTTTCATCTCACACCAAAGTAGATATACACCAAAAAGTAGCCAGAAAGTGCAAAGAAGTTTATTACCTACAATGTGATAATGATATCAAGAGTTACAGTGTCGACACAACATTCTAAAATCACTATAACTCAATAAAAAATGTTAAAAAAAAAAAGAGTTACAGTCTCTGTGCACGTGCCCCAGTAGTGCATCCCCTCCTACAAAACAAACAAACAAGGCAGCAAAATGCATGTTAGTAGTTAGGTACTGGGGTCAAAGTGATGGAGCTGCCTCTTCTAGCAGCAAAGTTTTGAATTGTGCAATTAAATGAGAGTCTTGGTCCACTTTCTACTGGTCATCTAACAGCACCCCTTTGGAACCACAACTGAGTGACACAAAAGAACATTCAGAGTCAAGATTTGGCTGCCAGAATTTTTTCTACACAAATTCCCTCATGAAGCACCAGAGCCCCGTTTGAGAGCTGCAGAAAACTAAAATGTTCCCCCAAGAAGCCTGAGGTAACAGGCCACATGGAAACAGGAAGCATTTTATAAGTTCACATTTGGTAACAGAATTAAAAGTTCAATGCAAAAAACTCATCAGGTAACGGAACCACAAGCAAAGACTTCGGCAGCCAAAGGAAAATTCTGAAAGGCTTTGAATCCCCACTGAAGCTTTCAGAATTAAATTCCCTTTCTAGACCAGGCTGCTCTCCATACAGTGTGATAAGAACTCATGGAGCAGCAAAAAGAAAAAAGAGAGGATAGCACCTTAGAAGATATTAAAACAGTAAGTTAAAAAAAAAAACAAAACACTTTATCTTCCTTCCATCCTTAAAGAAGCAAGGTGTCCAAACACTGCTTTGTGCTCCTTTAAAGAAAAAAAAGCTGTAACCCAGACCTCAATGTAAGGGATGAAGAAGATAACTGACAGCAGCCTTAAGACGGTGCTGTGGCCACAAGCCGATGAAGGAGACTAAATGATCAACCTGCTCTGCTACTCGGAAGGATTTTACTGCTCAGTCATTCAAAAAGGAAGGGACTAGGTCAAGCCACGATCAAGGTTACGAAATATCACGACTAAGTATTCACATAGCACCATTTACCTAAAGTGACAAACATATCCCACCGGATGAATCCTCATCACATGCCTGAAAGGAAATTACAAGAAAACCCAGACAAAACTGGTTCTTCATTTACTGGGATGGGGCTTTACCTGGGTTCTCGTAACATCACCTCTTAGAGAAATGAGGACCCACAAAAAGCCTAGCGCACAATTAGATCTCTATCTTCCAAGTCCTAGAGCCCAAATTATTTATTCTCATTGCTCCAATTGTCTTCCTCTCTGTGCTGAGGTGTCAGATTGTCTCACTAGATTGGCCCCAGACAGCCACATACTTAACAAGAAGCCCAAGACTATGAGATTTAACCACTGTTAATGTAAACTGTTAATCTTGCCTTTGCTGCTTCTTCCGTATTTGACCAGAGATAAACCATAACATCTATTAACCAGACTCTTTAACCAGACTCTCTAGTCTAAGGATTATGTTAACAAAAGAGGCCAGACCAAACCTATGAGACAGAACTAATAACCCAAATTTTTAAAAACAGATCTTGGCAAAAATATAAAAGTGACTTTTTTATAGCATACAGTATATTATGCTATAATATGGAAATCTCCTGAGCCACCTAGCAAAGAAGGGTGGAAAGGGAACATCCTGTTGAGAAATCAAAGACAGGAGGAGAGGATAATTTCTGTCTCTCATCATTAAGAAGTAACTCTGTTACAGAAGACTACACAGTCACCTGTTCCTGACATGGCATACATATTTCCTAATGGCTTACAGAAAACCCCATGCAAATTAAAATTTGAAATAAGTTGCTGTAGCAGAACGGAGGAAGCTGATAGAAGGTATCATGAGAACAGAAGGAGGAAGTATAGGTGATGCACACCCTCACTTCCTTATCTCAAATATTATGCAAAAACAGTTTGTAAATACCTTAATTTGGTCATATTTGGCACATTTTAGAAATGAAAAAGCTTTGAAGAATAACACAGGTTAAAGATGATTTCATTGCAAATAACTGATAAAACATTCTACACATCCCCACTAAAAATCTTTTGAAGAGTTGTCCTCGCCTCTCTGATCTGAAAAACCGAGAAGAAAACTGAAACTCAGACAGCCCTAAGAAAGTAAAACTACGAACTGCACCTACCTAGTAAGATGAAAGAAAGGCATCCTTCTACCTTATCATTTCTTTTCTTAACTGTAAACTGATGGCACTTTAATACTTCAAAACCCCAGTCAGAACAAACCACTGACTCCTGATCCTACCAACTCTAAAAATATTGGGGTTATACACTCTAAGCCACCCAAACACACTGGATGATAAGAATTAAACCAATGAGTATATGCTGTATGCTAACTCACAGATGAAAATCACAGAATTCGTATCCCAAACAAACATTTTGTCTGGGAGCACATCAGGAAGCCCTAAGCTTCATTTCATTAAAATATATGGGGGGGGGGGCGGGAGGAGGAGAGAAAGAGAGAGAGAGGCATCAGCAGTGTGGCCAACATCTAGGATTCTCCCTTTAAATAAATGGACGAAAACATGTAATACATTCAAGAGCAAAGGCAAAACAAAAGGATCTTTCTGTATAGGACAAGAAATTCTTCATTCAATTAGAGTATAAGTTATTAAAAGGGGTAGTTACAAGTCTCTTCTGAGAGTTTTTGAGCAGTTTATAAATACAAAAAGAACATTTCTTCAATAAATTAATGACTCCTAAAGGCTTTACTGGTGACTTCCAGAATCTTCCATCACTACTGTCCAGTCCAGCTCCACTTCTCTGAGAGGCTTTAGCTGCCAGTGGAACAGGCTGTTTTCTGTTACTAGGTGACTCTTCGTATGTCACGCAGACTTTCGTCAATATGTCTCTTCATAATCTGAATCCTGGTGGGGGAAGAACAGTAGTTGTGGTATATGTAGTAAGTATAATGCCACAGTCAGAATTTAGGCAGAGACCACACGTTAGGATCCCCCAAATGGAACTCGGCTAGGGCGACATCACAGTGAAATGGCACTGACTCCACTCACTTAAATTCCCATGAAGCATCACAAGACCTCAATAAAATTGGTGTCTGTTGGGCTAATTTCTGCTTCGAAACCCTAAGGGTTCCCTTCTCCTTGGTGAGTATTTTTTAGAATGTCAACACACGTGAAAAGGTGCCCACAGCAAAGTGTGCAGGACTGTAGCTAATTTAGGCTAGGAGTCAGTCTACCTCTGGGTCCCAATCCCAGCACCACTCCTTGTTGGCTTTGTGACCTTGAACATAGTTACTTAACTTCTCTAAAGCTCAGCTTCCATCAGTGTGCCTGGCACTTCGTAAGCCATCATTCAAGATTACCTACTGTCACTATTGTCTGTATCCTTCTTTTCACTATTTGAGCTTGTATTCATTGCTCCTAACCTCAACTGGACCATTAGTACCACCTGGCATATGACATTTCTCTAGCCCATTCATCCTCCTATTCTCCTAGAGGACTATTTTCGTATCTTTCTCTCTTTCTCCAAACCTCCAGCACTTCCTTCACGTTATTCTTAGTGATGACCTTGCTTTCTCCCATCACTGGGAACAGAGAAAAAGTTAGTAGGGAACTTCCACACGCTCCCACCACGATGCTCACCTGCTCATCTGCATCCGGGCCCATCTACCTGGACTTCCTCACTCTTCTTATGGATACACTCTCACTGCCTTTATCTAAGGCCGACATCTCCACTGATGCACTAGATCCTGACATCACTCCAGCAATCCTCTCCCTCTCCTGTAGCATCAATTTTTCCTTTTCTACTGGATCATTGCCATCAGCAAACAAATGTACTATAATTTCTCTCGTCTTAAAAAGAAAAGGAATGCTTGACACACTCCTCCCTCCACCTATTGCCCTATTTCTCTGCATCCCTCCACAGCAAAACTCCTGGAAAGTGTCGTTTACACCCACTGTCACCAATATATCTCTTTGTGTTCTTTCTTGACCCTACTTCAGTCAGGCTTTCAGCCCCACTATTCCACTGAAGCTGCTTTTGTCAAGGCCACCAATGACCTCCCCATTACCAGATCATCCAATAATCAATCCTTAGCTACGGGGGAGGGTATAGCTTAAGTGGTAGAGCCCATGCTTAGCATGCACGAGGTCCTGGGTTCAATCCCCAGTATCTCCTTTAAAAATAAATTAAAATCTAATTACCTCCCCCACTCCGCCAAATAAAGTAATATTATAATAAATCCTTAGCTTTCATCTTACTTGACCTGATTCATCAAAAACTGACATATTTAAGCACTTACTTTTCCTTTAAAAACTTTCTTCACTTGTCTCCCCGGTTATGGAACTCTCCTGGTTTTCTCCCACCTCACTGAACACCCCTTCTCAGCCTCCTTTGCTAATTCCACTTCATCACCCCATCTACCAACCTTGGGGCACTCCAGGGCTCAGTCCTTTGAGTCCTTCTCTACCTACACTCATTCCTCTGGTGGAAATATCTCTACCAGCCTCTATATACTAATGACTCCTAAACTTGTATCTCCCTTCTAGAACTCTCTTCTGACTCCACATCCACATAACCAATTGCTGCCTCCACAGGAAGTTTAATAAATATTTCAGATTTAATATATCCAAACTCAGCTCCTGATCTTTCCCCCCAAATTTGTTCCACCCACAGATTTGTACATACTAGAAAAGGGTAACTCTATTCCAGTTGCTTAAGTCAAGAACCTTGAAATTATCCTTAACTCCTCTCATTCTTTCACATAGACATGCAACCCATCAGGAAGTCCTTCTGACTTTATCTGCAAATTATAAACAGAAAACCACCACTTCCCACCACCTCCACCACCTGCCTGGTTCAAACCAATATCATTTTCTCTCATCTGCATTATTGCTAAAGTCTCTTTTACAGGCTCTCTGTTTCGGTCATGGTCCCTTACCACCTATTCTCAACACAGAAGCTAGAATGATTCTTTTAAAACATACATCAGTTCATAGCATTCTCTTCTCAAAAACCACCAGTGGATTCTATTTCATTAAGAATAAAATCTGGGTCATTACAATCACTGTAATGTTCTATAAGATATGACATTGTCTCTCAGAAGAAATACCATTCTTTGCCTTGCTCACTTCATTCCTGCCACACTGGCTTCCGTGCTGTTCCTAGAACATGCCAATCATGGCCCCTCCTCAGAGTCTTTTCACCTACCTCCTCCACCCAGTGTGCTCCTCCATGAGAGCCATATCGCTTGCTTCTACATGTAGGTGTTTCCTCAAATATCATTTCAGTAAGGGTGTCCTCAACCACCCTATTTAGTATCATACCCTCTTGTCCAGCCATTCCATCTATCTTTGCTATTTTATTGTTTCTTTATAGTATTAAGCACTAGCTGATATATTATATATTTTACTAATTGTAAAGAGATTTAGTTATTGTTCGAACCCTAATTTAAGAGAAGGTGACATTTCAAATGCGTTGGAAGATGAGAGTTTTCCAGGCATGGAAAGAATGTAATTTCTTTGAGGGCAGGGATTTTTGTCAGTTTTGTCCACTGCTGTTTCCTAAGTACCTAAAATTGTAGCTGGTGCACGTTAGATGCATGCTCAAAGAATAACTGTTGAATAAATCAGTATCTGAAATGTAGACAATAATATTATGAACATTAGCTCATTTCACGTTATCAAAATATTCAAATCCCAAAGAGTTGGTATTAGACCCCATCGACTGGCACTGTCAATCTTTCTCTTGTCTTTTCTATAATACTCAAGTACAGGAAAGAAAAAGAAACAAAGAATGCTGCAATGAGTAACTGGGCTGAGGTCATCTAAGCTGGGCAGTAAGCACAAAGAAGGCTCAAGTTTAAACCCTGAAATGACAGGTATGCTTTATATCAGATCATAAGTTGCTTTTGACTCTTTTCCAACTGTACCACATCAGAGAGTCTCTCCTCCTCCCAGGATTCTTGGACAACCACACAAGCCTGCCAGTCACAGCAAGCGCTCAGACGGGGAGGGATGACAGTCTCTAGAAATCTAAACCAAAACTCAAGCCTATCAACATGGGTATTTCTTTCCTTTTTTTTTTTTTTTTTTTTTGAGTAAAGGGAGCTTTATTTAGAGAGATACATACTGCATAGAGTGTAGGCTGTTTCAAAAGGCAAGAGAAAGGCCACGAGGTGTGAGAGTTGGGTGCTGGTTAAAGTAAAAGTAGGTACACACTCCATAGACAAAAGTGCGGGCCACCTCTGAAGAGGCAGCTAGAGAGGTGGCCACGAGGCGGGATGTCCCCAGTTTTTATGGGCTTCATGCCTCCAAGTGGGAGGACTATTCCAGCTACCCTGGGGAAGGGACTGGGATTCCCAGGAATTTGATCACTGCCCACTCTTTGACCTTCTATGGTTAGCCTTGGCATTGTCATGGCGCCTGTGGGCATGTTATTTATCATGCTAATATGTTACAATGAGCATACAATGAAGCTCAAGGTCTACTAGAAGTCAAACCTCCCACCACCTCAATCCTCAAGGCCTAGTAGGACTTGAATCTTCCACGGTTTTAGTGTTAATTTATGTCATTCCCTGAATGGCTGTGCCCTGCCCTCTTCCCTCCTGTCTTATTTCCCCATCAGAGATTTTACTCCCATAATCTTATGGGGGTGCAGAGGGAACATGGGTATTTCTTATCGACAAAACAATCAAGTCATTTAAAAGTTGTATCACTCTAATTCCCTGGAAAAAATGGAGGTTCAGCAGAAAAGCTCAATTCAGGGCTTTGGGTCCAGCCAGTCCAGGTCTCCTAGTGTGATGTTAGCAGCACAGGACACTCCTCTTTCAGGATGTTCCCTGTGAGTCAGCAGAGGCTGCTCTATACCATCCCCTTCCTGAACCTACGGATATCACTCTATGTCCATGAAACAGAAAATAAAATAATGCTTAGAATTGGTAAGGGTCCCCTGAGACCAAAAGGCTTTCGGAGAAGACCTTGGATCAAACTTTGCTTTAGACCTAACTGCATAGCCTCTGCTGCCTCTGAGGGCAAAGGATCCCCTTAATTAAGCAGGAAAATGAAATGTGAACAGCAAACAGAAGAAATGGCATGAACTCACCAGGCACTCTGCACAGCGGACACAAAGCTTAGCCATGCAGTCATTCTCCTCCTCCTGGTCAGTGCTGCAGAGAGAGGGCAGGACCAATGTGAACAATCACCATCCTTGGTATAGGAGAGCAGTTAAGAAGACGACGTTGAAGTCAGACAGGTCTGGTTTTAAATTCCAGTTCTGCCGCTTACACTAGCAGGGTGACTGGACAAATTACTTAAGATCCAGAAGCTGTTCCCTCATCTCCAGAATGCAGGTATTACCAGCTACACTTAAAGGAGTGAATACAAATAAGCACACGTAAAACACATACCACAGAGCTTGGCACATAGTAACTACTTCAATAAACAGGAGCTATTCACATTCGTAACCATGGCTAAGGCATTGTGCTGGGCTGGGGGTGAAGACAGAAATAAAACACAGTCCCTTGAAGAGCTCACAATTTCATGGGTGAGAGATCTGCTAAAACCTAACAAGTACATTATAATACAATGTGATAAATGTTTTCATAGACTTAAGGTCAAACTGCTGTGGGCAGCAAGGAGAAGCAAGTGATCAGTTTTCCCTGGAAGACTCAAGGAAACTCAAGAGAAAGGGACATTTCAGCAGGATCTTGGAAGATAAGGAAGCACTTTCCAGGCAAACAAGGGAAGGAGTAAAGGGATTCCAGGTGAGAGAAAAGCACATGGAACATTTTTTTTTAAAGCTCTAAGTGAATGCAGTGTTTGCCGAAGGCAGTAACTCACTGTGGAGTGAATGAGAAGAAATGACAAGAAACAGTGTAATAGGGTCAAATCGTAAGGGGTCTTGTTAGACCATGCTTAGAGAAAGGCATTTTAGTATTTTTACCAAGAGCTCTTTGCCTTTTTGGGGGGCCACAGATTCCTTAGAAAGGGCATTCTCTCTCCCATTAAATAAATGTGCCCTGAGCGCACATACACACACATACAGATTTTTAGACTCTTTCAAGGTAAGACTTCTCTTCCCAGGTTAAGAGCCCCTAATACAGGCAATGGAGAATCAACAGGGTTTTATGGATACTTTTATTACCTTTTTTTCTTTTTGTAGTGGATTTGTTCTTAGGGAAAATACTAGATCATACCTGCTTCACTGGCAAGATGATGTTTGATACATGCTTTTGATAACCACAATCCAGTCAGCCCCTTTGGAGCATCTGCTGACCAAGAACAATTCTCACTTAATTTAAACTGTTTTGCCCTCCATGGCTGTTCTGAAAGCCTCTCTCACTGCTCAGGCATTTCTGTCGGGAGACTTCAGATGGGTGCCAAAACAAGAAAGGGGGGGAGGGGGAGGAACTAACTTGTTGGAATTTTCCACTCAGTTTGAAGGAATGCGATAGTCCCTTCAGAATTCATATTCAGAACCACAGCACTGTCCAATCTCATTTCCAAAAAGAGAGACTAGGACCATACAATCAACCCCTCCATCTCTCTCTCCAAATTAATATCCGCAAGTTTCCCTTTCAGCAGAAATTAAACTGAGCCTGCAAGAAAGGAAGATATGGATGCATGGGTCTGGGTACTCTGTGGATGCAGAGCCCACAAAGCAGGGCTGTGAGGAGGACTGACTGCTGGGGCTCCAGCTGGACTTACTCATCTGAAACCTCAATAGACGACTTCTTATAGCCAGACCTGCTTCTCTTCTTCAGCCCCGCAGACTTCCTCCCCATTCTCACCAGCAGCAGAACCACCACCACAGCTGAGGGAATGAAGACCAGAATGGAAAGTAGGGCCACGGAGGAGAGCATGGTGCCAAAACCTGGAGGAGGAAAAAGAGAAGGTAAAAGAGAGGGACACGCAAAGTGCTTCCTTTGACGTGACATAGGTTTTACTTTTGCTCTTACATTTCTTCCAATTACAAATGGGGGTAAATTCATTGTAGAAATGGTGGGAAATACACAAAAGTACAAAGAATTCAAATTTACCCATAATCCCACTACCTAGGATCAACATGTCAGTATCTACCCATTCACTCTTCCTTCTAGGAGTATGTGGATTGTGAGCCTGAATACAGGGAGGAGAGTATATTTTTAGAAGTATGGATCATATTTTACACAGTATTTCTGATCTCTTTTGTTACTTACTATATGATAAATATTTGCCAACAATAGCCCTTCCAGGTGTGTTTTTAATGGCTGTATAGTATTCTACCATATTGAAACTTATTGAATTAATCTTCTAATGCTGGACATTCAAGTTGTTTTTAATTCTTTGCTTCAGTGAGTTATATAATGATGATCATCCTTGTATGTAAATATTCACATTTAGCTCTATTTTTAAGATAAAATTTTTAAATGAATTACTAGATCAAAGGGTATATATACTTCTAAGGTCTTTCAGAAAAACTATACCAGTTTCTACTCCTGCTAGCAGTATGAGTGTGCCCATGTCTCTGAAACCTGTGAGTTATTGTCTTAAAAAAATAAAGAAAGAGAAAGGGGAGGAGGAAAGAGACAGACCAAAAAAAAAAAAAAAAGATTTGAGCAATGACAAGGTATCTATAACAAACCAGAAATGCAGTTCTGTATCTCTCAGTCTTTGGCTCAAATCCAAATAAGGTCTAGAATGATCAGTCAATCGTGACCATGGAATAATGTAGAAAAAAAGGTCAGTCCTCAACCCACTCTCCTCCTGTTTCACGCTAAAAGGAAACAGCTTTGCAACATAAAAGAAATGTGCTGCCTCCATTTTTAGAAGAGGTACCTTTTCAAGACACAGATAAGAACACAGTCTCATAACTGAGGGTATGAACATATTAGGGAAACCAGAATGACTTTTATTTCACACAGATAGCAACCCTCCATTTATTCAAGGGTTTGCCATACATTCCGCAGGACATCTGGTCACCTGAAATTAAAACTAAAAGGATAATGGAGAAAATATGATAATATTTGAAGAAAACTTTAGTTTGCAAAATTAATCTTAAAATATTCATCCTAAACCTTTAATGAAAAAGAATACGAAAATGAATATATGTATGTATGTGTATATATGCATGACTGGGACACTGTGCTGTACACCAGAAATTGACACATTGTAATTAACTGTGCTTCAATTTTAAAAAATTCATCCTAAAAGACAATTTAAGATGACAGAATGTTCCAATGACCAACTGGCTTACAAAGATAGGTAGCTTTGCTAATCACTGATCTCCCCACAAACCACCACAGTAGTCACAGAGCACTCGCTGCAGAAGAAGGTTGGTGGCAGTTAGCTTACCCCTTTCTGTGACTGTTAGCTCTGTCACTGGAATGTTATGGTGCACATCTGGGGGGTTCTTCACAGCACAGCTGAATGTCCCATTGTCCTTTATGGTAGGGTTGCTTATGCTTATGGACGCATCCCCTTTGTACACATCTCCAACCCAGGAAATTCGATCCCGAAATGTGCCTGCTGTGGTTGGGTACTGGAAAGACTGATAATGAAAAATCTAAGAAAGCAACACCATGAGAAAAAGTTAATTTGGAAAATGCAATGAAAGTGTAAAGCTAAGCAGATCCAAAATAAAATCCAAATGTATAATGGGCTGTCTCAGATAGACAATTTTTTTATGCTTTGTTCACCTCTATCCTATAGCTTAAAAGACAAGTTAATAAAACTTATCAGAAAAAGGTTTGATGAAAGAATCCTGGGATCCTAACCATCGAACCTCTTCTAAATTCTCCAGAAAGTCCTAAAGTTGTCATTGTCAACCAGGGGCAATTTTGCCCTCCAGGAGATATTTGGCAATATCAGCAGATATTTTTGGTAGTCACAAGTGGGGAGAGTGCTACTGACACATAGCAGGTAGAGGACAGGGATATTGCTAAAAATCCTATAAGGCATAGGATAGCCCCCCACAACAAAGAATTACCTGGCTCAAAATGCCAAAAGTGCCAAAGCTGAGAAACTCTATTCTAAAGTGGCATCTACTTTTCATATAGTACTTTATAATATACAAATGATTTCTATATATTTACTCATTTGAGCCTCACAACAATACTGAATTATACATGGGGCAGGTAGAAAGGGAAACAAGGTCAAAAACAGAAAATTAGGGAGGACGGTATAGCTCACGTGGTAGAGCACATGGTTAGCATACACAAGGTCCTGGACTCAATCCCCAGTACCTCTTCTAAAATAAATAAATAAGTATAAACCTAATTACCTCCCCCCTAAAAAAAAGTCAAATGAGTTACTCAAAGACACACAGCTGATAAGTAAGAAATGGGAGATTTTTGTTTATTCTCAAAATCACCAGAGACTATAACATAAGCTTCTCTCGGGTTACATACATACCTTGGCAATTAATGAAAACCCCAAGTCAGGTGCATGATGGGTACTCAATGAATATATGTTGAATTAAAAAGATGCTGTTCAGATTGGTGCTCAGATACTCCATCACCAAAAGCACCTAATTATATCTGGTGGTAGGCAGGTACTCCAATACAATAGGGTCCTCCTATGCAAGATTCAAGGCTTTCCTCCTTCTTTGCTTACTTGGTGCCTCCTCATTTAGGAACCCAGGCATTTATAAACACTGAACTGCCCAATTTTGAAGAGCAACTTTCCTGAGAAGATGCTGAACCACTTATTGGCTCATTTGTTCAATGCATTCATTTAACAAATATTTACCACACACCTACTGTGTGTTAGGCACTGTGTTAAGCAAAGTGATACAGTGGGAGCCAGACAGACACAGCCTCTGCTCTTGTGGAATTTACTAGCTAGTGGGAAATACAGATATTAATAAATAATAAAATGTGTAATGAGTTTTCTAAAGAGGGAGGTAAAGAATGCCCATCACTATTTATCAACATCAATATAAAAGGGTTTGAAACTCTTTTATTGACCAAAGCCTGCAGTGCTTTGGTCAATAAAAGATTAATTCAACCTGTAAATTCCAAGTTAAATTAGTGATACTCAAATCCTGCTAACTGACTCGTCTGACAGAACCCTGACTGATCACATAACTGCAACAACATGTTATGTGACTTTAAGGGTCCACTAATTCCAACTTGGGTGAGTTTGCTGATTTCCTGACTAGCCTTACAGAGAACAGCAGCACACAAGAGCTGCTGTTCACGTTGAAGGTTTCTGACCCAAGAAGACAACTATTGTTTGCTCTTTCCTACTTTTAAAAAGGAAAAGCCATTTAAAGCCAGCCATAGTTTCCTGACCACTCAAAATAAAGTCTAAAGAAAAAGGGACCACAAATACAGCCTCGATTCCTTCCCTGGAGCCACCTCCAGGGGCACAACTGGAGCTCCTACAGTAGCTACTTGTGGATGCTACGTGTCACTCAACAATGGCTCCTAAAACAAAATCCAACACTTATACATTAAAATCAAAGAGAAAGGACACAGAATAAACAAATTAAGGATACTTTCAAAAATACAATCTCGTGTACCACTATGACATTCACATTCTTGATAAAAATCTATCCTGACTCAGGATATTGCTGGAAGCACACAGAGAAAAGGTGTGTTTTTTTTTAATAGCACAGCAATCTTCAGTTAGACACCCACAATGGGATTTGAGCCATAAACGTGTTTCATATGTGTGAATAAAGTATATTGCTTCTAATACTGCAAGACCGTCTGTCACCAACAGCATCTGTCATCAACATAAGGTGCCACCACTTCCTTCAAAGGGAGCTATATAAATCAATGCAGATGTTTATACACTGGGAGAAGATGCCAAGATCACCTTCAGAGTACCGATATGCAAGCAGATACACCCAGTGAAGCAACTTCACGTGACAGGAAAGGAGCAGCTTTAAGAGAAAGGATATCTATGACTGGGACCTACAGAATTTTTCTATCCAACAGCCCTGGAGGTACCCTTTTTCAGTACATCAAATCTGAAACTCAAGCTACGAAGCCATCAAAAAGAAACAACAAAGGGGAAACAAAACTAAACCACATTTCCTCTTGAGTCTGACAGTGTTTTTTTTTTTTCCTATAGCTTATTTACAAGATTCTTACATAGAAGAAAAAGCCCTGTGTGACCAAATCAATGTTATATGGGGTAGAAGCTCATCTCTTTCTTTGTAATAGAAGCTCATCGTCTATTCTAAGTGGAGAAGGTCTAAGGTGTGCCTGTGATCTTAGGATAAAAGGAGTCCAGAGCTGTTAACCACAGAAGGTTCAGAGAAATACCCTGGTGTACACTTACTGATTCTGTGCGACTGCTGCTCGGAGGTCGATATGTCCAGTCTATGGTGAGTTTGTCAGTGACAGATGAAGTCGACTTGAAGGTGCATTTCAACTTGATGTTTTCTCCAACATACCCCCGGACATGGGCATCCGCTTTAATCTCCAGGGAAAGGACGATGTAAATACCTAATCAAAGCAAGCCCAAACATTTAAAATGTGTTCATTTGGGTGTAATATATAGCTGTGAGTGAAACAATACAGTGACACTATTTATCATTTTGGGGGCTCTCATCAAAAAGCCATAGCAGTAAATATCTCCTCAGGCAAGCCCAAAAGGGTAAGGAGCAAGATACTTGCATTAATTGAGGGTGGTATTTTTGTCATTTTACAATGTTAAATCACAGAATGAATGCTTGGGTAAAAATTTTAAACCTGGTCACACCAGCATTTTTTCAAATACAGACCTGTGGTTAAATTACTTACAACCAAGTAGGTCAGCCCACAGCAGGCTGCTCACTCCCTTGACACACTTACGCCCCAGGAATATGGCAACTGTTGTGATCTGAGGGATTTAACCCCAAGTACAGCAGAGCTGAAACCTGAAGCTATCACTGCCTCAACCATGAGCAAAATCAGAGTAGGAAACAAGAATAAGAATTTTTTTCAAAGAATTTTATACATCTACCCCAAGGTCCCACCTAGTTAGTTCTGTTTTTCCCTTTCTTAAAGCTGGTTAGTGATTCGCACATCCATTCAAAGTAAATAATGGGGAGGAAAAAATTTATTAAATTTATAATTTAAGGCATTCTAAAATGTAAAAATAAGACATCCTTTCAAACTCTTTTCCTATTTCCAAAACCACCTGACATACCCAACTTTGACACCCCACCTCCCCAGAAAGAGCTGACACTTTCTTCTGACCAACCAATCTCCTCTGCTTTCAGAGAACAGTGAGTAGAAATTTATCTTCAACTAGGGAGCCATTTTTTGGGAAAGTAAGCCACCAGCCCTTTGGTTTTCCTGCTTCCTTCTCCACCTCATTGAGCCATGATTCATCTGGGAGGCCAAAGACAAACAGAGCAGCAAGGCTTCAGAAGAAAGCAAATCCACACACCATCCTGAAAACCAGAAGAATCTCTGGTTGAGACAGGATGCAAATCCAGCCCTATCACTTGCTGATTCTGTGCTCTTCGCAAGTTTACTTGCTTTTTTCATTTTCCCATCATGGTAGGAATGACAATAATGACACTTACCTTAGAAGGTCACTGTGAGGAATCAATGAATTAAAACATGTACCACATTAAGAAGCCTACCTAACCTAGAGTAAGTGCTCGATGCACACTCAATAGCTTCATCACCATTACTGCCACCTCTTTAGTTCTGCCCATACTTTCTCAATCTTTCCTATCACAGACACACTTATGAGTCAACAGTTCCACCTGTCTTTACCTCTGCTGCTTTGAATCATGTTTCTTGCTCCTGTCTAGACAATCTAGTCTGTTCACATTCCTCTTAAAAGGAGGAGACCAAGGCTAAGCTCACAAATCTACTAAGAATCTGACCCATCCCAAAGATGAGGATTACTTCTGGTTCATCCAAAACATCCTCTCTGACTTTGCTATGCTAAACTTGTCATTCCTTCCATGTCTTTGCAAATGCTGTTCCTCAGCCTGGAAAGTCTTCATCCCTCAACCCCTACTCTCTCCCAAGGCCTCACTCCTGACCCACCTTATTCATGACTCAACATGCAGCTCTAAAAACTATAAAGAAGAAACTAATGGATAATCTACACTCTTCCCACACCCTCTACATCTTTTGTCCTAAAACATAAGTATCTCAGAGAGATTTTCAAGTATGGATTTAGAATTAGACAGACCTGGACTTGAGTTCTAGTCCAACTACTTTCTAGCTGTGAGAACTTGATCATAGTTACCTAACCTGTTCACGCTTTAATTTCCTCACTTGGTAAGCAGGAATAATAAAAAGATCTATTTCATTGGGTCACTGTGAGGCTCTAAGAAGATTAAAGAAGGTTACACATAAAATGCTTAGCAAAGCACCTGAAATTGAAACTTTCAATAAATGTTAGCTATTATCATTAAAATGAATGCCACAAATATTCAAAAAACCTTCAGTAATTCCCTACTGGGCTATAAAATAAAATCTAAATAGTAACAATCTGGCCTCCAACTTCTGCTATTCCACCCACCTACATCCATCCCATCCCCTTCATCATGCCCAGAATGTCCTGCCATTTCTCAGATTTACTATGTCCTTCATGCTACTGTGACTTTCTTTGAGCACACATATCATTGCTTGCGCTCAATCTGTAAAGACTATTTCCTCCATTAAATGGAAGTACCTTGAGGGTAAAATTCAGAGGGAGGAGAGCAGGCAGAGAGAGACTGAGAGAAAGAAATGGACATGTCACCCAAATTTCTAGTATAGGAACAAAGTGTGCTTATTAGCCACCCACTCTCTTCCTATCCCCATTTTTACAGTACTTGCAATATTCTTAAGTCCCCTAGACACCTACCTTTCCATTGTACTGATTTAGGAAAAGCTCAGCCCTAGATGATCACTTCTAGATTGCGGCTGGTGTACGCTGAAGGAGAAAAATTGCACAGTTGCACAGATAGTTCCATAAGAAATTCATGAATCCTACCAGCAGCTGAGCCCTTGACGAGGCATGATGACTCTTTAACTGGCCTAGGTCAGCTCCTCTGTCTGGCTCCTCAAACTTGCCATTCTCTTTTATCCTCTATGCAACCTACAAACCCCCATTCTAGAAAAAAATGTCTCCTCTTACTTCTTCAAGAAAGCTGAGGCCAAACAAACTACTTAGTCACGAATCTTCCAGCATGTGCACCTATCCTTACCTCCAATCTGAGAGGGTGTGGTGTCCTTTTTTCTATGCAACGTTAAGCCCTTCTCTGCCTGGATCCCTCCCTTCCAAACCCTACTCCAGAAAAAAAGAAAAAACAAACAACTCTCTCTGCTATCTTCAACGTCTCCCTTTCAAGAGTGGTTCTTTCTCCCCCTCCCACCTCTAAACACACAGAAGTCTCTCCCATCCATAAAAACAAATAAATAACAATAAAACAACACAATAAGAAATTTTCCTAACCCTGTAAGCCTACTCATTACCAACTACTGCCCTCTCTTTCCTTTCTAAGCCAAGTTTGTGAAAGGGTTGTCTATATCTGATGTCTCCCTTTCCTTTCTTCCCATCCACTTCTGGACCCTTACAGCATAATCTGGACTCCACTAACACTTCTGGTAAAGGGCACAATGTCTTAAAATTGCAATATCCAGTGGATAAAAACTCCAATAGGCAATTTTCTGATAAGCACTATGAAGAAAAGACAAAGAGGGTGGTTATGAAAACTGTACTTGTTATAGTAGGGGAGCAGGGAGTGGTTAATGAAAGCTTCCCTGAAAAAGGTACTTTTGAGCTGAGTTCTGAAGGAAGAGTAACAAGGTGAGGAGAGGGGGAGTATTCTGGACAGAAGATACAGCATATGCAAAGGTCCTATGCCAGAAAGGAGAACAGTTAGTCAAGGAACTGAAAGAAAGGCAGTAAGGCAGCAAAACAAAGAGCAAGAGAGAGAAGAATGAGATAGCTAGGAGGTAAGCAGAAATTAGCTCATGCAGGACCTTAGAGATTTGAGTCCTTATTCTTAGAATAATGGGAAGCCATGGAAAATACTTAAGTGTGGGACTGAGTGAGAAGAGACATGATGAAGTCTGAATTTTTCAAACATCACTCTAGAGAAGACACTTAGGAGGAGTCAAGAGTAAATACAAGATTACTCACAAGGCTACTACAATAGTCATGTGAGAAGCTTGAACTAAGTTGGTGGCAGTGGACCTGGAGAAACTAGGAAGACAACAACAGTTACAAGGTAAAATCAGCAAGAACTGTAATAGATCATATGCTGACTATTAATGAAAGAGAGGTATCGAGAATGACTCCCAGGCTTCTGATTTGGCAATACCATTCACTGACACAGGGAAGACTAGAAAAGTACCAGGCTTGGCAGGGAAGAACGTGAATTTGATTTTGGGTAAGTCTAAGGTACCTTTGAGATATCCAAGGAATAATGTCAAGGGGGCAGTTGGTTTAGGGCAGGGGTCAGCAAACTATGGCCCACAACATCTTGTTATAAATAAAGTTTTATTAAAACGCAGCCAACTTCATTTATTTATGTATTGTCTAGGGCTCCTTTGTGCTACTCCAGCCAAGCTGAATGGTTACAGCATAAATTATGTGACCCACAAAGCCTAAAATATTAATTCTCTGGCCCTTTATAAAAGTTTGTGAACCCTAGTTTATAGCAAAGAAGAAATATGGATTAGTGTTATAAATCAGAATCTCATTAATCTCCCTCCAACCAATTCTCCATTCTGATGTGTTACACACACACACTCACATCTCTGAGAGTTCCTATCTTTCTAAGGCTCCTCCTTTCCTACCCATTCCTTAAACACTGATGTTTCTTAAAGTTCCACCCTGAGCCCACAGGCCTTCTTTCAATATGTTCTCCTTGGACAATCCTATCCACTTCTATAGATTTCACAACCACTAATAAGCTAATAACTCCCCAATCTATGTTACTGGCTATGATATGCTTCTGAATGTCCAAATATTACTTGAATATCACTACCACAAAACCTCAAATTGAAGGTAATGAACACTCGTTTGTTACCGACTCCATATCCATTCCCCTCATCTCCTTTCCTAACAACACGCAGATTTTCTGTGGATATCTACCCTTTCCCACATAGCCCATGAGCTTGGATGCCGATGCCTTTGCCAGGGAAACAGAAGGCACAATCAGCTAAGATTTTGAAAAGTGTATGGACCACTTTTCAAAAGCACTTTTCTCAGGGTCAAGAAAGCCAACAAAGGCACAAAGCCTTTACCACCCCAGGACTGAAGGGGCAAAGGGAGGAAATGCTGCAGCCTGGTAAGAACTGGAGCTCTGGGCCACTTGATAGAAGCTGTAGCCATAGAGGAACATAGCTGCTACAGACCACGGCACCATGAGGGGGAAGGGGCAAGGAAGAAATATCCTGATGTCTTTCTCCTGCCCTTCGGTCTCCTGCCAATGCCTTCCATTGACCAAACCAAACTGGAAGTCAGAGGAAGAGAGCCTGGATGATGCAGTTTAAGGGTCAGCTCTCCAGAGAGTAGGGAAGAACAGAGAAGTGAATGGGTCTGGTGGGAGAGGAGCAAACTAAGCATAACTAGTAACTGACCCTATACCCAGCTCCAGGGGCCTGGTGGGGTGGTGGGGAGGCTGACTCAGATTGGCCTAAACCAATCATTACATCCAGAGGTATGCTGGTAAATAGCTAAAAATAGAAAACCCAAGTATGTAGACTTTGACCATTTCTACAGTGCAAGTACTCCCACCATGGTTAATTTCTATAATTACTGAATTACAGTAAGTACACCTTTAATAAAGTGACCTACTAGCAACTTCTTCCTTGTCAACGTATTTGAACTCCACATTCATGAGCATAATTTTGCCACAAAGTTATCAACATGTAAAGTCACCTTTCTGAAATCTAAACACTGGATAAGCAGGTCTCAAATGTATAGTTACAGAAACGTAACCATAACATCCATGGATAAACTAAATAAATCTGTACTACTAATCTACACATCAGGATGTTAGTCCCCTCTGGAAGAGAAGGGACAGTGACTGAAAGGAGGCATAAGGGAAGTTTTTGGAATGCCAGTAACAGTCTATATTCTGAGTTGGATGCTGGATACCCAGGTGTGTTCAGTTGCTGAAAATTTATTGAGCTGTACACTTATGACATGTGTACTTTTCTCTATATATATTTTACTGAAATTTAAAGTATTCTAAAGTCAATAGATATAAAATAACTTGTCTCCTCCACTCAAAAATAAGAAAAAAAATACCAATCCAATGTTACATTCATTCAGAAACTTTCATCCTAGGCCTAATGTGCTAATGAATATTTATCTCTTCCCCTGAGTGAAAAAGCATCTCACCAGGTAAAAACAGCCAACTGTGGAAATACTCACAATAATTAAAAACATTTTTAATCTGAGAGGAAAACAAGAAAATCACATTTAAGCATAAGTAATTTTATACATGGAAGAAGTGGGGGGAAAAGGCAAAAACTCCCAATTTTATACACCCAAGTTTCCAAAATACAAATCTAGCAACCTTTGACTCACAAAACTGCACACTTAAATGGAAAAGAGAAAAGTGTCAGAGCCCTAGGCTGGCCAACCTACTGTTTCTACATACTTAGACAACTAATAAAGCAGGTCCATATTTGTTACTTAGGGAAAATTCAAGCTAATGATTTAGTGGGTCCTAAATTTGAAGAAATAAGGCAAATAAAAACTGGTATGAAACCAAAGCCTATTACCTAAGAGATTAAAAACAAAAGACCCCCCAAAAATGAACCCTGAAAATATACTAAGTGAAAAAAGCTAGTCACATAAGAACACATATTGCATGGTTGTGTTTATGTGAAATGTCCAGAACAGGCGAATCCACAGCACTAGAAGGTAAACTGGTGTTTGCCAGAGGCAGGGGGAAGGGAAGAGTAAGGAGTAACTGCTGATGGCTACGGAGTTTCTCTTTGGTGTGATGAAAATGTTCTAAAATTGATTGTGGTAATAACTACCTAACTGTGAATATACTAAAAACCATAGAATGGTACACTTTAAACGTGTAAATTGTTTGGCATGTGAACTGTATCTCAATAAGGCTGGTTTTTTAAAAGGCAAAAGATAAATCAACAAGGACATATAGATCATAAACTCAACTTGTAATGTTTGAATTATTTGATGTGTTGAATTGATGGATGTTTTTTCAATGTGAAATGACATCAAGTTTATGAAACCACCCACCATTTCTAGAATATTTTTTTCAAATAGGGCAATATTTAAAGATTTCTGTGTCTGTGTGTGTGAGCAGGAGAGAGGGAGGGAGAGAAGGGAGAGGGGAAACTAGGATTATTTGGAGTGACAACAGATGGGCCTAAATAGTATATTGCAAAATAATTATCTGAAAAACTGGATACTGTGATGACGCAGGTAGCTGGGAGATCAGGGAGTGTGCTGGCAGCGTGAATATTAGTCATCAAATAAATAAAAACTCCCCAGCCTTACCTGCTGAGATTTAGAACACCTGAAACCTTTATGTTACAGGTCCCCTTCAGAAATTCCCATTACCCACAGGGAAATTTTATTAAGTTAACAATTCACTCTGATGCTAGCTCTACTAACATGCAGATTTCCTGGGGAAGGAAGACAGACAGACAGACAGACAGACACACACACACACACACACACACACACACAAACACGAAATAACTGCACCCTAAAATGAAGGTAATTAGGTTGACTGAAATGTGTGCAACTTGGAAACTGCATCAAAACAAAACTTTCCCAAGTTTTAAGAATATGTCATAGTGAGAATACTGTACTCCCGATATCCATTAACAGATTAAAATTTTAACAGAATTGATATGCCCATCCTTCTATTTTTTTTAAGCAGTTGCTTTTCCTCAACAAATATGTCTCTATTGTAAAGAAATTAAAGCATATCCTTTCTGTGACTAACAAAAGTTTTACTTCAGAGGCCCTGACAACCACCTACAAAAAAATAAAATTACCAACAGTCAATTTACTTTCCCAAAATTACTGGGACAAACTATTGAAGACCAGAGCTGTCCTTTTCTAATCAAGATATACAGCCCACAAAACCACAGCCCAGTCAACCACCGATAACTCATCACAACAGCGGGTGCCCCTAAAGCCAGAGCCCTTTGTGATTTATATCAAGTCGTGCCATCACCACAATACAGTCCAAGTCACGCAAGGGTGGTAGAGCTCCCAGGGGCTCAGGAAAGTACGAACAAGGTACCAACTCCCCTCAGGTGGGTGGAGATTACGAGAAAACAACACCCTCCCCAAGCCCTCTGGCTTCCTTCCTTCCCAGAAGCGTTGTGGGGGCTTTTCGGAGACCCCCACCGGAACCGGAAAAGCGACCATCTTCCCTAACACCCCCGGCCGGAAGTGTGGCCGAGCCCGCCGGCGCACTCACCCTGGAAGAACAGGACGCCCAGCAGTGGGCACAGAGCGCAGCCATGGCCTCCAGCCGCCCCGCTCTGCTGCATCCCGACTGCTCTCCAGATGCTTGCACACCTGTTTACGGCTCCCGGTAACCACACAGGTAACACCGGAAGTGACGCGAGGGCGGGAGGCCGCGAGACCTAAAATGGCGATTCGGGTTGCCATAGCAACGTGGCTTCTTTCCAGAACCGCACCTGGGTTTGCTCACGTTAATTCCTCGGTTCTTTAACTCTCAGGTAAGAGTGCATTTTTCTCCTTCTCTCGAAAATGAAGTCGACAAACTTTGGAGAATATACTAATTATTTTTTATGGAATTCTGCAGGACTAAATAGTCTTGATCCTTTGACTCCAAGCCAGAAGTCTTTTTTTACTCCCTAGGAATTAATTTTTTTGAACATTCTCAGAATAGATTTCTATCAATTTAGACTTAACAGGGACGTAGGAGATCGTACAGGATCAGACAGTAAATAGATAAACATGGGCATTTTGCGTCTCAAGACTGGTTCATACTATTTTTTTTTTTGTATGTGTAGCATCCAACTCAGTACCTACCAAAATTGAATGTTTATTAAATTGCTGTTGACAGTGGCAATGGTGAAATCATTACAAAAAGAAACTGAGATTTGTCTCTTTTGGTTGGAAAAGATAAGGAAATGTTTTCACAGTGCTTGAAGTGTAATGAAGAGATGGTATCACATCCTTCTAAAAAAGAGATGGATTGGTATCCTAATTCGTTAGTCAGCCTATTCTCTTGCAATCTACCCATATGTAATGAAAGCAGAAGAGGAACAAAAGTATACTTCAGCTTTGGGCAAGTTAATAACTTAATTTTTCAATGCCCATCCTTTACTAGACTTGAAAGCTAGTAGTTTTTATTATTAAGAAGGTAGTGCAAGAGTATCAAATGAAATAGGTGATACTTTTCCTTATAAAGAGTGTGCAAACTAGTTCATTTTGCCCAATTCCCAGTTATTGTGGAAATCCATATAGATGTATTTATCCAGGAGAAACCAATTCTATCCATTAGTGACGTCCAAACAGCCTCTAAAAAAATTTTTCAGTAGAGATCAAATATATTCCCATCTATTTCTGTTACTTGCTATGTAAAATATTTAGATTTGCATATAAGCAAATTATATAATTGGTAATTCTTTATTACTGAAGGTTATTTACATAAGTGTTTAAGACACAATAAAAAATAAATTACAATACAAAAGTTCTCTTTAAGAAGACACTGAACAGCAGGGCTATATTAACCCTAGAGTATTTAGCCAAGACACAAGCTACAGGTTTTGCTGGAAAGACTTTCCTTGAGTTTTTAACTACTTCTTTACAATTATGGAACATCATCCAGGCTGTTTGAAGAAATATCCAGTTACAATCTTTTCAAAGGCTGAATTACAGAGGAAAAATAGAAAATGTGAATGAAAGGTAATATAGACTTGAATCTAATTTTTAGTTTCAAAACTGTGTATTGAAACTTTACTTTTTAAATAGTATAAAAGGCAAAATGAGATAAGTATAAAATATATTTCAGAATCAGGGTTCATATGTAAGTTATACCAGTTTTTTTTAAGTATTGGGAAAAATATCAAAGTTCAGCAGTTTTAAATACAGAAAACCAATTTAGAAATTCCAGTTTGTTAAAAGAAATAACATCTTCAGCCCAGTTGGTGAAAACTGAAAATATCAAGCTGTAAAGATTTGGGGGGAGGGAGTGCCTAAACTTTTAGATGTTTTCAGTTCTTTGAATAAATGCTCCTGTAGCATTAATCTGGAAAGACACTGGGAAACTAGACACTTTTTTAAAAGCACTCTTCTTTCTGTAATCCACTTATAAAATTTCTTTTATCTACCTGTGTAAGGGACAAAAAGAATAAAGTTGGTTTCATTCTGTTAGTTTTGGTATTTCTTTGTCGCCATACCAAATCCTTCCTCCCCTGAAACAAGCAAGTGAATTAAGACAAAAAAAAAAAAAAGAGAAAAAAGGAAAGAGAAGGGAAAAGGAAGAGAAGGGCAAGGGAAGGGAAGGGAAGAGAAGGAAAATTTAAATAATATCTTGCAATTCTCAGAGCTTTGTATAACACTATACAAAATTATCATCATTTAGGGTTGATTTTTTTTCACCAGCCCTAAATTTTTTAATTGTAATATATTACTATTTCAGAATCCTTCATTTTAACTGCTTAATTATTCCAGTCTACAAATGAGCACTGACTTTGCTCTGTTGTTATAGATAACTGAATTGAGGGAAAAAACATAATAAGCTAAACAGTCATTCACTGCTCGTGAAAGATCTGTGCTATTGATTGCCTTTCACAGTACAGAAAAAAGGTAACAAGCAATTCATCTTGAGACGATATTTGTCAGTCTATTAGCATTTATGTACCCTTCCCTATTATTCTGGTGTAGACTTGTGCTGTTGTAAACCTTGGATCACTTGACCAAAAACAAAAAACAAAGACAAAAAAAAAAAAACCAAAAACCTACCATCTAGGATATTGAAAAAAATTCAATTAAACAAGATGTGTCCCATACTTAAGGAGAGCCATAAAAATCAAACTGTTCTTTAACAGTTTGAATTTAGGATGTTCTGTTAATCAATCAAAAACAGCTGGGAGAATTAGCTCACCTTTTAATTGAGAGTGTGAGAAGGAAACACATTAATTTTAGTAACAAGAATGCTGCCCTAAGAAATTAATATATTAAAGGAAATGTTCTGACAAATTGGCTTTTATCCCATTTGATGCCAATATATGTGTATATAAGCCATAATCCACAAGGAGTATTTAAGGGCAAAAATGTAGCTGCTTAGTATACAAAAACTAATGAGCATTTGAAAAATATTTGCACTCTGAAATTAAACAGAACCTTAGTAACAGGGCTATATATGGATCTGGTGGTATCTGCTCAAGAAGGGCCCAATGCTGGCTCCAGAGGAGTGTTGCTTGTCTAGGTAGTTATATACTGCTGAGCTGGCTGGAAGACGGGTCACAATGGAAAAGCCAAAGTAAAGCTTCCATTAGCTTCACTTATCTTAGGGTTCTTGTTCTTGGAAATCTTCAGCTTTCTGAAATACAAAGCAAAATTTAAATGGATAATGCATTTGGGAAGAGTGCAATATGGCATTATGAATTACATATATATTATTAGATTTATTCTCCATAGTGAAGAAAAAAATTCTTAAATATATTTGTTCTCCTCTAATTTAACTTTTAAAAGAAGTTTCCTGATCCTTATTATACAGTTCTCAGGGTCAGTGTTCTTAATTCATAGTCTCTGCCTTGCATGACACTCGGATGACCCATAGTTTACTCACATACATACATTCCTTCCCTCTCTCTCCTCCCCCCACCCCTTTATTATAAACAAAATCAAATATACAGAAAAGTAGAGAAGATAGTGTATAGAACTCACTAACACTTAATTTTAAAGCAATTTTTGCTTTACTTGCTATAAATATATGTTGGGGGAGGGGCTGAAGTTTTTAAAACAAATTATTGATATTTTACCCCTCAATACTCCAATATGCATTTTTTAAGTCGGGACAACTTCCTGCTTAACCCCAATACCCTTATTATACCTAATAAAAACTAGCAATATTCTCTAATATTATTCATATTGAAATTTTTCATATGAAGACTTTCCTAATTGTCCCCCCAAATCTTTTTACAACTAGCTTGTTCAAACTAGTATCCATCCAGTCAAGGATCACACATTGCACTTGACTGTGTTACTTCCTTAAATTTCTTTTACTCTTAAACAGCCCCCATCTTTATTTTCCATGAACCTGACTTATTAGAATATCTGCTTGATTTTAATAATAGCTGTTGGTAAAAATCTCTCTGATACCAAATTTGGTTTCCTAGGTTTACAATAGAATCATTTTTCTCCATATTCTATTTTATAAATCTCTGGGGCTTAAGGCTATAAAAATGTGACTTTTTTTTTCCAAGTAATAATAGTGGACTTCAGAGAATGGAAGAAATTCTGATCATATGAAAAATAAGTCATCCTATCCTTTAAGCCTAATAAACCTAGAAACTGGAAAAACAAAATTATGCACCACTCGTACTGGATTCATAGTCCCAATAACCCAAAATGAGAGGAGTTGAAATCAATTCCAAATATTATACAGAAGTTCTCCTATCAAAATGTCACGTGTGTCTATTGAGTCACTCTCTTAATGCCATTAGTTTACAATGGAACAAAAGAAAACAAGCAGGTGTTAATTCTTTCATTACAGAAAAGTATTTATTTACAGGTTGAAAGTTAATTTATTATCCTTAGTGGTGGTAAATGTAACCCCAAAGCCTCAAATAATCCTAGAATTCTCTCAGCTGTAATGGTAGTAGGGTCTAGCTTTCTAATCCTTCGCACATAATACACTCAAAGGGGAAGCCATCCGTAACAGATGATTTTTATCTCTGTGCTCCAGCTTCTTTGTTTTCATACAGGAAACACCTAACAATCAAATAACCTGGGAGAGCCACATTAGAGATGTGCCATACAAGGAAGCTAAGGAAAGAAATCAACCCATTTGTGAACCTTACCATCTAAGAATGTTAGTCTGTGTCTTCTAAATAAACAGAGGCCTTTTTTTCTTGGTTGAGACTTTCCTCTTCTTTTCTGTAACAAAGAAGCAGAGACCAGTGTTAGGGGAACAAGATAAGAAGCAAGCGAGGCAAATCCTACAAAGCTTCAAGTGAGATATTTTCCCACAAATTTTTGGAATCATATGCACTTGGGAGTAAATCTAAGCTTACAAAAAGCTAAGCCACTTGTGCTGACTAACTAACAAGACTCATTCCTCCATATGACCCTGGGTATATGAACTTAGACACTATTCAGAATATTTCTAGAAGAGAATATAACTTGGGAACTCCAGATGTTTAAAGCAGACATCTTAGTTTACGATCAGTATTCTGCCTCTAATTTCTACTCCTTACTCAAAAAAGACAGTATTGTATTGATCTAGAAGTCATCTTTATTGATTTTATTCTATTAAAACCAGGTCAGAGTTGTGTTCATTGAGCTCCTTAAAATCAGTTCTATTTGCTATAGTAAATATTTCTTGAGGAAAGGAAACAAATGGTGCTGGGATAGCTGAAAAATTACAACTGGAAAGAATAAATGTGGACTCCCGCCTCACACTATATGCAAGAATTGATTCAAAATGAGTCAAAGACCTAAATGTAGGAACTAAAATGTAAAACTCTTAGAAATAAACATAGGCATAAATCCTTTTGACCTTGGATTAGAGATGGTTTTTTTCAGGTATGACACCAACAACATAAGCAACAAAAGAAAAATAAATTAGACTTCATCAAAATTAAAACTTTTGTGCTTCAAAAGACACTATGAAGATAGTGGAAAGGTAACTCACAGAATGGGAGAAAATAATTGCAAATCTTGTATCTAATATGGCACTTTTGTATACTCCAAAATATATAAAGAATTTTTAAAACTAAACAATGAAAAGACAACCTAATTTTAAAATGGACAAAATGTTTGCATAGATGTCTCCAAATTAGATACATAGCCAATAAGCACATGGAAGGATGCTCAACATCATTAGTCACTAGGAAAATGCAAATCAGAACTTCAGTGAGTTACCACTTCACACCCACTGGAGAACTATAATCAAAAGGACAGACAATACAAGTGCTGTCGAGGATGTAGGCAAACTGGAACCCTCATACATTGCTGATGGGAATACAAAATGGTGCAGCTGTTTTGGAAAATAGTCTGGCAGTTCTTCAAGAAGGTAAACATAGAGTTACTATGTATCCTAGTAACTCCATTTCTAAATGTATACCCAGGAGAATTGAAAACATATGCCCACACAAAAACGTGTAATGAATGTTCATAGTAGCATTAATCATAATAGCCAAAAAAATGGGGAAAACTTCAGTGTCCATCAACTGAATGGATAAACAAAAGGTGGTATACACAGTTGATGGAATATTATGCAGCCATAGAAAGGAATGAAGTACTATAGCATGGATGAACTTTGAAAGCATTATACAAAGTCATTAAATGTCACATATTGTATGATTCTCTTTATATGAAATGTCCAAAATAGGTAAATCCACAGAGACCAAAAGGAGGTTAGTAGTTGTCAGGGGCAGGTGGGAGAGGAAAATAGGGAGTGATGGCTAAAGGGTATGGAGTTTCTCTCTGGAATCAGGGGTGATGATTACACAACTTTGTGAACATTAAATAATGAATTTTATGGTATGTTATATAAATTTTATCTCAATGAAAAAATTATTGAGCACCTTATATTAGCACAGCTGACTTTCCTAGGCACTGATTCATAGAGCCCCTGCTGACATCCCAGTAGTTCTTAAAAATGTGTGCTTTACAGTAAAAGTAAGGACTGTCCTAGGAAAGCTTTACATAAACAAATTCTTGTACTGTCAAATCCTACATAGTAAAGAAAGCCTATAATGAAATCTTCTGTAAAATTAAGAAATTAAAGCTTCTAATTCACTCTCTCATTTATCTCGCTTGTGAATTTGAATTCTTTTATAGAAGATTTACTCACAAGGAAGAACATCTGTTCAACAATTATTTAGCCCCATTGTAAAATACCAAAAGTTGTCATAAAACAGTGTTAGAAGAGTTTCCCAGAACTGCCCAGCCTTACGATTTTATCTCCACCACTTTATGAGCTCTTTCAGCCCATCGCTTTTTTCGGAAATGCTGGAAGAGGACCACCGCAATTACTATTATGACCATCAGTGTACAGGCGGAGCCAATGGCCAGAGCCAGGAAGTGGATCTCAGAGAAGCGTACTGGAAAGAGAAAAGATCAAGTGAGGATTCTGAAAAGAGGAGGACTATGATGAAATCCAAAGATAAAAGAGGGATGTATTTTCATCCTTAAATGGAATCTTCCTCTCTCCTACCTTATTAACCAGAGTTTTATCCCGCCCCACCCCAGACCTACTGAATTACAGGTGGGGCCCAGCAATCTGTTTTAACTTGTCCTCCAGGTGATTCTGATGCATGCTAAAATTTTGAGAACCACTGGGCCGGTTGAACTACCCAGTGGGGTAAGGTTATTCCTGACCTAATCAAATCCAGTGTCCAAAGTATTTCTCCCTGTATCCTTCTCAGCTCTGTCATTCATTCAGTCATTTATTCAGGTTTATTAAGGGCCTATTATGTTCCAGGCACCTCAGTGGAAGTACAAAGCCAAAAAAGACATTACTTTCAAGGAACTCATGCCCACTGGAAAGAAAGGCAAGTAAATCAGAAACTATAGTCTAGTAAAGAACTAATCCAAGAGGGAACCCAGAGGGAAGGGTCCCTAAAACCATGCTAGAGTCTGGGAAGCCTGGGTCTCTTGTTTTTTAGCTTGATTTCTGATTTAAATTTCAACAAACCCTCGGAGTCAGGAAAGACGTTAGAGACTATCTAGCCAAGGGGTTCCCGGCCTAGAGTCTGTGAAGGACTGTTGCAGGTGGGGGGTGGGCACAAGCCCACAGAATCCATGTCACACCGTGTGTGCATTGTTTGTGGTAAGCGAGAATCATTAGATTCTCAAAGAGTAGCAATCCTAGCATGGTTAGGAACCATGTGTTCTTATCTAACCTGTTCATTTTGCTTTGAAGAAACTGAGGTCCAAAGATATTACATTACTTCTTTCAATAATAAAATGACTCCCCTAAGGTCACACAGCTCTCTGTTGATAGGATCTTGAAGGATGGTACTAGGAATGAAAGAAGGAAGGCATGCCCTTTTATAGGCTTACATTTTGGGTAGTAATAGTGTGTTGGTTAAGAGCATACACCAGAGACAGGTTAAAATACCAGCTCCTGTGTGATTTGGGGTAATTAACTTCTCTGAACCTCAGTTTCCTTGATGTGTAAAATAGAGATTAAAATATTCATTTCTTGAGTTCTTATAAAAAATAAAATTCCTTATGTAAATTGCTCCATGCTATGCCCACACAAACTAAACATTCAGTATATGGTAGCTATTATAATTTTCAGTACAATTCAGAGTTTGGGGAATTTTTACATTTATTGCTTTATTTTATCTTCGCCATAATCCTTGCTCTATTATTCTCACTTTACAAGAGAAGAAAAAATTATTTACAGCTGGTAAACAATAGCAGTGACTCAAACTCAAATTTACAACTCCTGAGTTTTATGGTCTTTTCTGTTTGTTATCTGGCAGTTGTCCAGGCTGCCCTTTTAGGACTGCAGGCAGTACAATGCATTGGTTTGGAGCACAGTTTTGGAGACAGAGATGCTTGGGTTTGAGTTCTGAGTGACTCCATTTATCAGCTAAACGACTTTGGTCAAGTGACTTAACCTCTATGAACATCAGTTTCCTCATTAGTAAAAGGAGGGGAGGAGCACTAAACACAATAAACTGATAGGATATGTAAAGATTAAATGTGATACACAAAGCCCCTGGCACAGGGGAAGTGCTCAGTAAACAATAGCTACCAGGACTGGAATCTGAGAGTGCGTGTGAGGATTAAATGAGATAGTACTTTGGACAGTGCCTGACAGAGAAGTAGGTACTCAACAGTGTTTTGTAAATAAATGAGTGAGTGAATGAATGGACTTACTGTTAGCCTTTTATCGGAGAGTTGCTTCCTCTCCCTTTCATGATCTCAATGCCATTTTTGTAACAGATTCCCTGCCTCCCTTTGCTTTATTTTCCATTTCTTTCCACAGCCAAACAAAGCCTTTCTCTTTTTACCCCAGGACTCTTCGCTCTCTCTCTGTAACCTCCAGATCTGAAGGGTTGGTCCTTCTCTCTACTCTTTCAGTCATCACTGAAGATTCCCCCTCTCTTTTCTACAAGCTCTCACTTTCGAAAACCATTTTTCTCTGCATCACCTACCAGTGTGCACAACGCTGAGCCGGATCTCCCCTATCAGACCATCAACATCAGGTGGGTTCTTCACCTGGCAGGTGTACGTCCCATTGTCATCAAACTGCAGCTTCCAGAGGAGGATGGAGGCATCATACCTCTCAGGGTTCCCATCCCAGACCACCCGGTCCTTGAAACGCCCACTCATGGGTTTGAAGGGATCCAAGTGATAGTAGAAAACCTAGAGAGGAGAAACGCCGAAGGGCTTATTCGGTACCTGGGCAGGGAGGCTGAGATGGCAGGAGCATAAGAGAAACACCAGCAAGCCTGACTGCCCTGTCTGCAGCTCTCCTGCGAGGACCTCTTGCTTTCCCCTTCACTGGCTTCTCAGTTCTGACCGTCTGTTTCCCAAGAATTGTTTCCCAGCTCTACCCTGTGCTTGCTGCTAAGAGAAATACAAGGGCAAGGAGAAATGGACAGGCTTATTTTCCTAACTGAGAGCCCCCTACTTACAAACTGCTCAGGCCCCCCATCTTGAGGACGGAAATTCCAGGTCACTGTTAGAGCGTCGCCCACGGGAGCAAAGCTGGAGAAAGTGCATTTTAACCGAACATCTGTTCCATTGACAGCCTCCAGCACACGGGGGGTGTAAATTTCCACAGCTGCTATTGGCCAAAAAACTACAATAAAAAACGAGGAAAGAAAGGTTAACAGAAGATGTGTATTAAAAGAATTTCCGCTGACACTACTAAAATAAAGTTCTGAGTAGGGCATTAAACAGAACTGAGATGCCCCAGCTCTTACTCAAACTCACTTCACCCAGAGTCTACCTACACCTAAGTCATGCAACTTTGACCCTCCCATTCCTTAAAAATAGCACAGTGAGCCTTTACTTAATGCTCTCACTCTCCAATGCATGATACCCTAGCCTCAAGGTACCCACTTCAAAACTGCTGTAACAAACTACAAAAGTCAGCAAATAAAATTGAAAGGAGAAACAAAAAATCAAAACTAATCAGAACAAGAATTAGACACATATTCAGATAAGCATTATGTATTATGTGTATAATGGTCCCCTAGCAGGTGAGTGTTCCAGAAAAGGTTCTTGTTATGTGAATTTTGTACTGTTTCTAGTCTTCTGCAGAAACTATTAATCAGTCCCAGAGAGCTCAGCTTGCCTGTGCTGCCAGAACCTTTATACCACAGGGCATTTTTTTGACCATGATATTTACATATAGAATGTGCATGTAGGGAAAGTTTCAAAACCACAGTGGGTCTCTCTCCTTAACAGTCCTAGCTTTCCCAGTGCTGCCGAAAGTCCCAGACAAGACCCACACACAGAAATCCAAGTGCCCAGTCCTGCCTGCCGTGGGAGGATGAGAGCAGCCACACACACAAAAAAAAAAATGGTGTGTAATCTGAGATTAGAAAGCCCTCTCTGTGCCCGACTCACCGGCAGCCGGAACACACCTAAACCTGTTTGTCCAAAAGCAGTTCCCCCCGAAACAGCCCACCACTTCAGTTTCATTAAAGTCAAAACCATAACGAAACGCAACTTTGGCTCAGGCTCCAAAAAACGACTCCTGCGGCTTCTTAGACAATTAGCTTTACAGGGTAAAGGCAGCGAAGGGGGAAATGCTCAGAGGAGCCCGCCAGCTCTTACCTGTGAGCTGTATGCCCAGGAGAAAAAGCGCAGCACGCGCAGGGCTCTTGCCATACATGAGGGAAACCCAGTCCCGGCCCTGGAGACCAGGCCGGGCAGACCGAGCGCTCCAGCACCCTGCCGAGGCCACTCCACGAGGAAAGCCCTGCTCTTTCCGGAGAGAGGAGTTAGTCCCTCACCTATGGGAATCCGAGCACCCGCGCCTGTGACTCATTGCTGCTCTGCTGGCGCAGTTCGCTGGAATGAAAGGTGGGGCCTCAGCGCCCAACGCCCTCCTCCCCGCCTTCCCTGCTTCCCTCCTGCTTTCTGCGCTACCAACACGTCTGCACAAAGTCCCAAGCTGCAGTTCTGTCTTCACTTTCTAGTTTGTCTGGACTCTGGCCTCTGGATGGCCTCAGAAACAGCCAGAGGAGGTGGTAGCAGTCTGAAACGGCCCAGGCGGCTTTGGGTCTGGCTCACACACACACACTTTTTTCAAACAGGCTTTACGCTTGCCTGGGAAGTGAATGCTGGACCTGCCTGCGGTGATTCCACTTCCCAAAGCACCTCCCTGGGGCCACAGTAGCTTAGATGGCTTCCTAACTCCAGCACAATCCGAATTCCTCAGGACCCTCAGTGTTCAAGAAACCCTACAGTTTATACCCTGGATTTTAGCCAGATGTTACCACGAGGAGCTCTATTCCTTTTCTGGCTTGTAGCCTTCCCTCAGACCCACCTAAAATAGACTGACCAAAACAAATATCAGTGTTTAATGACCCTTTACCTTTGAAGGATTTAAAGAGGAATCAGGACCACATCCCAGCTCATTCACCCTACCGTCTCAATAGTGTGCAAAGTGCTTTCTTGCTTGTTCGTTCCTCTACACAACACTCCCATGAAATGTTCCTATTTTACCAGTGAGGACACTAAGAGACCAGAGGAGGTAAGTGACTTGCACAGCCAATAGGTAGCAAAACTAGAACTTTCTTTTACTCTAAATTCTAGCGCTCCTTCCATAAAATAACAGCTAACGTGAACAGAGGACTGTCACGGAAAAGGTTTGCATAATAACTTTTTTGTACCTCAGATTTTATCTGTCATTTTTAGAGCAGCCATCTGTCTGAGAAATCTAAACAGTTGAGGACTGAGAGAGGGTGCCTCCTAGTCTGGGAAGAGGATGGGTAATTGTTACGGATTAATGAAGCAGCGTTGAAACAGCAGCAGGAGGATGAAGACTCCGCGAGCTGTTAAGAAGCAGGCTGGACCAGGAATCTAACCCTGAACAGAAACAAACTGCCCTTATCCCTGGATTATCGATCTAGAAACTCTTTAGTGATTCACAAAACCTCCTAGTGAAACCCTGGAACAAAGAAGTTTCCAGGAGAGGGAGGAAGGGGTGGGCTGACTAGAAAAAATAAAACATCGTCAGGAGGGAAGAAAAGAGAAAATTCCACGGAGACAGGTGCAGAGGACAGAAGACAAAGAAAAACAAAAGAGGACAGAAAATCAGCAGAAGAAAGATGTCATGATGTGGAGAAAAACGGTAACCCACCACCCGAATCCGTCCCTGTTAGGACCGAGAAACCAGGGGCTACCCCCCCTAGGAAGGCAGGGCCGAGCATAAGAGGACTATGATGAGTGTTTCTGAGAGTGGCTCCTTTGTCAGCTTCTAGGTCAGAAATCAACTGAAAATCAGAATGCTGGGGAAACATTTAAAATGGTGATAGGATGAGATGGAGCTTTTCTGGTGTGGAGATCCAAAGAGTTCAGCCCCAGGAGCCTGAAAGGAAAGGAGTGAAGGAAACTTGATCCTCTTTGTCGGCTTTTAACTTGCTGCAGGGAAATGCAGCTCTGAAGAAAGGAGGTAGAGCCTGAGGTTTCTAAGTCAACCGCAAATTGCAAAATTTGGTGAGAGGTCGAGTTACCAAGGGGCTCAGGGATACGGTGAACAACAGCAGGAGAGGAATTGGGGCAGGAAGAACTGAACAAACTGCCTGTTGTCCGGAGCCAAAGACTCTCCCCCAGGTAGCCAGCCTCCCTGTGAGCCGGCTACCAGGCCTGCTCTGAGACTCCGCTGCTGCCCAGATCCCATTCCTCAGCAGAGTTCAAGTTCCTGGCTTGGTGCCCAGCAACGCCCAATTCCTTCCAGTTAACAGGAGAGGCACCCAGTTCCCCTCCCTGGGTGGGGAGGAGAGAGGCCAAGGGCTGGACTTGTTAAGTAGAGAAAACACTAAACAAAAAGAGTGTCTGTCCCGAAAGAGTCCCCAGGATGCCCGTCAGCAGGACTTTTGATCAAAGGTGGAGGCATCTGGGTAAGGCCTGAGTTACAGTTAGTATCTGGGCAAAGGAAAGAAAAGAAAGAGGGGTTCTGGAGATTAAAAGGAAAAAAGTGAAATTCTCAGAGACATCACTTTTTTCTAAATTTTCCAGAAAAAAATTCTGATCATTAAAATTCATGGCATACTAATGGTTTTAAAAGCACCTCTTCTGTCCCAGTCCCTCTGTCCCACGTTTCGTAAAAATATTTCTAAAGAATACCTAGACCTTGGCCAGTGAGAAACTCACTGGGGGCTCAAGAGACAAAAAGGACAACTGGCCTGTATCAATATTTGTAAAGTTGTCTTAACTTCCTAGGCAAAAATGTTTTTCACCGCAAGATGAAAATAGCATTCTGTGAAGCAAGGAAAACAAATAATTT